ATAATAAGAAAATATAACTAGATATATTATAAGTATTAAGAGTTATTCTTATAAAGCTTTAGCTAGTAATCTATTACCTTAATATATACTAGGTTTTCTTTAGATATAATAACCTCTTTCTAATTCTTATAATATTTATTTCGAATTATATTACTAGTATATATAATTTTATTAGAGAATTAGTTATAAAAAGCTAAATAATCCTAATTAATTCAGTTAAGGTACTAATTATATCTATAAATAGAATTACCTTTTTAAATACTTATTTCGAAAAGAGCCTTTCTCGAATATTAAAATATTATTTTCTAGAGATATTAAAATAATTTTGGACTTATAAAAACTAGTCCTATATTAAAAGTAAAAGGCAATACTATAAGAAGTATAATTAAAACTTTATATTATTTATAAGGTATACTAAGTACTAGATTTATAATAGATATTTATTTAAAGGCTATTAAATATTTAAGAATATTTAGAGAAGTAAAGTTAATTTAATATTTAGTTAGTAACTTCCAAAAAAATTAGTAATTAGTAGTAGTTAGCTAGTAATTCGAGCCCTAATTACTAGCTTCTTTTAAATAAGCTTTTAACTTATTAATAAAAGTAAAAGAAAAATAATACTTTTTATAAATATTAAAGAAATAATATATAATAAATATAAATATATAAAATAGGTGAAAATATCTTATAAAATAGATATTTTATATCTTTTTAAGAGTTTTTATAGTATTCTTATTATATATCTAAATTATCTTATTAATATTTAGATTCCGAACTAGTTCCTCTAAGAACTTACTAGTTAAAGACTTATAATTTACTATATTATATATTTCCTTAAAGCTATTATATACCTATAAATATATCTAGCCTTAATAATACTTATAGTAATATTAGGAGATTACTAGTATTATATTAGTAATATCTCGGAATATAATAGTTATATAAAAGATAGGCTTTATAGACTTTCTATATTTACCTAAGTTAGCCCATTTAGTAAAGGCCTTGAGATAGCAGGTATAAAAAAGGTATATAGTCGGGATATATCTATTAGTATTAAGTAGTTACTTAAATAATACAAATTAGATTAAAATAGTTTCTTTTACTAAATTAGTATAGATTCGGGACCGATCTAGTTTTGAAAAGTTAAGGACTAGAGATAATATAGAAATAAAAATATCCTATATTTCTAATAAGGTATTAGCCTTAAAGTTGAGTTTAATATTCTTATTTAAAAAGTAAATACAAGTATTATAATATAGCTTATTACTATAAAGGGAAAGTTACTAAATAATATTATACTAAATTACTTATAGTATATAACCTTAAACCATATAATAAAGAAGTATTACCTTAGCTTGAATATTATTATTATATATAGAACTAATATTCTCTTATTAGTATACCTTGGTTTTAAGTTTAGTATACTTCTAATTAAAAGAGATATACTAGTAATTTATTAGTAAAATATTATAAAATATAGCTAGTAAAAGAATCTTATTAAACTAATATTAGAGAATAGAAAATAAAGTATTACTATTATATCTAGGAAATATAGTCTTTTTTATAGAATCCTATATAAAAGGAAAGAAAATATAAATATAAATATTCTTATAACTAATTATATAACTAAAGTAATAGTAAGGCACCTTATAAAAGGCTACTTTCTGGACCTTGGACTAGTCAGGATTCATTATAGAATTAGTAATATTTATATATAAATATATGGAAATAGAGATATTTTATTAAAAACAAAGATATAAGTTAATTTGAATTCCTTATTAGGTAAAAGAAAGGCAATTAGTATACCTATAAAAGCTATTAATATTATATTATCTTAAACCTTTATAGTAGTTTATCTAAGAGTAAAGTATATATAAATACGAGTAATAATCTAGAATATTAGCTACTGGTTTAGTATTGTTTTCGTTATAATTCACCTATAATATATTAAAGTTAAGCTTATAAAGAATACTATTATCTGAATTATTATTATTATTATTTATAACCTGGCTATTAGGTAAATAGTTATTATTATTATTTATAATAAGACTAGTAAATATGGCTTACTAGTTAATATCCCTAACTACTATATATTCTTACTAGTTTATTATTTACTCTAGATATAATAGTTTGCTATTTTATTTATTAAGACTATAATTCGAAAGGAAATTATAGTATTATAGAAGTATAATATATTATTTAGTAAAATAAAAGAAATCTTATCTATTATTAGACTTAGTATATTATTTATTTATATATTTTTAGAAATCAAATAAATAACAAGCTAGCTCCGAAATATAGTTAATTAGTAGCCTATTAAGTCCAGTAATCTCGGCTTATAATTGAGCTTCTAATTTCGCCTTATCCTTACTATTACTCTTACCCTTATCCTTAGTTTCAGTATCCTTATTATTAATAATTTAGTTATTCTCGGTATTATTATTATTCTTATTAATACTATTATTATTATCTAGATAAGGCATATTAGGGGTCTTTTCGGAAATAAAGTCGGAATTATTACTATTATTATTATTACTACTCGGGAATAGTTAGTTTAAGAAATACCCGAGACTAGGCTAGTTACTATTTATAAAAAAGGAAATATTTGTCTATAATTCGCTATATAGCTTCTAGCTATTAGACTCCGTTTTACTATTATATTCTGGGGAACTATTATTGAAATTATTAATACTATAATTACTATTATCTGGGATTATACTATATAATAAGAGATTATAACTTAGTAAAGGATTCTTATTCCGGTTTTATAAATTTGGAGGTTCTAGATTAGTACCCTAGTAAATAGTTAATATTTAAAAAATAAATTATTAACTTCCTTAAGATTAACTAATAGATTCTAATTCCTTATTATTTATATATTATAAATACCTAATCCTATAGGCCTTATTAAATTTATAGCTCATTTATATAATAGGCTTTATAAAATATATATATATCTATTCTTTATTTCTCGATTATAAGTATCTAGGAGATTTGTATTTATAATAGATTTATAGGAATATAGTTATTAATTTAATAGTAATTAGTTAGAAAGCTATTATATTTTCGGAAGAATTATAAAATAAAATAGTACTTATAATACTTAGGCTTAAGTAAAGAGTCTTTTAAATCTTACTAGGGATCTCTTAAGTCTCTCTATAATATCTACTATTAGGTAATTATTATTTAATATTTTATTCTCGGATTCTTATAAATAAACAAATAGTAATTTCTTATTTAGTTAGTAATAACTCGATACTTTACTTTTAAATTCTAGTAGATTTGCGAATAGCAGGCTTTTATATTATATAAGGCAGGCCTATATTCTATAATAAAAGTCCTATAGAATTAGGTATAGATCTTTAATATCTAGTTAATAATTCTTATATATTTCGAGATTGAATTAATAGTATTTGGAAGCTAAATAGCTCTATACTTAAAGTACTTATAGTATTTAAATATTCTTGGATATAGTAAGAAGGTAATATATATAAAGAATCAGGCTACTATATAATTAGAATTAAAGAGGTCGGTATATCTAAGGAAAAAGGTTATAAAAGAGAAAGAGGTTATTAAGGAGAAAGTTATTAAAAAGAAAATTATTAAGGAGAAGATTATTAAATAGTATTTAAAGAAGCTAGGAAAAGGCATATATTAGTTATTAAATCTATAGTAAATAGAAGAAGCTTAAGGAAATATAAGTAAGTAAATAATAACCTATTAAATTAGGATCTGGAACTTATTAATACTTTTCTTACTAGTATACTTATCTAGTTATATTACTTTTATACCTTATTTCTTTCTTTTCTTCTTTACTTTTCTTTAGGTAAGATATTTTTAGAAAATTAGATTCAGAAATAAAAGATTAAAATCCGGTAATAATTTACTAAGGATTCGGGAATAAAAGACTATTAAAGAATTAGCTTATTTAGAAGTAATATCTAAAAAAATTATTATTAATTATACTAAAAGTAAAAGGGGTTTAGATTTAGGAAATACTTCTAGCCTTAATCTCTAAGCAAGTTCCAAACTCTTAGTAATAAATTTATTATATATATTATAATATATTAGATCCTAAAATATATATTTTCTATTATAATATATATAATTAATTTAGTATTTAATTTATAGCCTTTTAGGGCCTTAAACTAATATAAAGAAAGTTATTAATAATATAATATTAGTTTTATTAAGATATATATATTATATATATTATATTTTTTTGGCTCTTAATATATATACTCTTACTATAAAATTGTAATTAATCTATTATATAACTAATATATAATATATAGCTATAATCTTTTAAAAACCTAGTAATATATAATTATTTTAGTACCTAACTTATAGCTATTTGCCCGTTATTTATTAAGTTATTACTAATATTATATATATTATACTTTTTCGGCTCTTAATATATATACTCTTACTATAAAATTGCAATTAATCTGCTATATAACCAATATATAATATATAGCTATAACCTTTTAAAAACCTGGTAATATATAATTATTTCGGTACCTAACTTATAGCTATTTACCTGTTATTTATTAAATTATTACTGATATTACGTATATTATGCTTTTTCGGCTCTTAATACATATACTTTTATTATAAAATTACAATTAATCTGCTATATAACTAATATATAATATATAGCTATAAGCTTTTAAAAACCTGGCAATACGTAATTATTTCGGTACCTAACTTATAGCTATTCGCCCGTTATTTGATATCGAGTTATTAACTATATGATTTTGGTAAGGGAGCTTCTCACTAACGTGTGTTTTTCAAAACCGCCTCGCTTACGTGCCCGCTTTTCAGGCATTTGACAGCAATCAATGGAATTTCCAAGCAGCAGCACCACATGCGGCTTTGAGTACCGGCCTCTCGATATTGTCCAGAACGAGATCCGCATCCTCAAGATTGCCCCCCCGACATCAAGCACAAACCAAGAAGACCTGGTGCAATGCACACTTGAGCACGTCTCACTTGGCACGATGCCATCCTACGTGGCGCTCTCGTACTGCTGGGGCGACCCCAGCAACAGGGTGGAGATCATCGTATCGGACTCGAAAGTATCTGTGACTACTAGCCTCGAGACAGCATTACGCCGCCTCCGAAGGGAGGGTTCATTGTCTGTCTGGGCGGACGCTCTCTGCATTAATCAGGCGGACGTGGTGGAGAGGAGTCTCCAGATCCGTCAGATGCGTGCGATTTACTGCCGAGCAAAGTGTGTTTTGTCGTGGTTGGTGGATTGGAGCGGCTGGGAAGCTTCTGTAGCGAGTGTTAAGCGACTTTCGACCGCCTTTATCGCTCTCGAGGACAATGACGCTGTCCCGCAAAGAGTGGTGGACTGCGTCAACTGGTTGGACCTAGCCTCGCTCTTCCACCAGCCATACTGGACGCGGGCTTGGGTAGTCCAAGAAATGGCCGTGGCGGCGGAGCTCAAGATTCTGTGCGGCGACGTTGGTCGGATAACTCTAGGAAGCGTTAATGACGCCGTTGAAGCATGCAAGAGGTACGTGCTCATTCAGCTCTCTCGGCTGAAAAGCAGCGAAAGGTACATGCCATAGCGAACTGACTATGGATTATTTAGAATGGCTGGATGCCCATCTGCTTACGCTTTTCTCGAGAAGTATCCGTGCGACTATATAGGCCAACTTCACACGTTGCGAGTGCAAACCCTGAGTGCCGAGCCTGTCAAGCTCATCGACATTCTATCTCGGATGTGCTCAAGTCGCAGCTCAGATATCCACGATAAGGTATTCGCATTCCTTGGTCTAGCTTATGATGCGAACACCTTACTACCTTCCCCTGCGTATGCACAGTCTACGTATGTCATTAGTCGCGAGATGACCCTTACAACTATCAAGCTAATGAACTCTCTCGACTTTCCGGTATTGTTCGCCAGGAAGGAGGCTTCAGCGGCAGCGACTGTGGGCTCAGTTGCGTCTGTCAATGAGAGACCTAATGAAGGGCCTGACAAGGAGGCAAAACCATCTTGGGTACCGGATTGGTTCCATGCAGCCACTTGGGCTGACGATCGCAAGGACCGATACATCCTCCGCCGGGATCTCTTCTTGGATGAGAGGAATTCCGAAAGTACTATCGCCGTTTGGAAGGCCACTTCTGGGTCCACGCCAAGATATCGTATCGTTGACCAGGTTCTTACAACCAGAGGGATTGTGTTCGATAGAATAGCATACATCAGTACTGTATTTGGGGAGGCGACAACACCTATATTTCCGATGCCTCTCTTCTCTTCCAAGCCGTGTTTGATGGAACAGCCTCGTAATTCTATGACGCCCCCTTTACTAGTCTTAGAGGAGCATATAAAAGAGTTGTGGGAACGGAATCGAGCTAAGGGCGCCTTCACCCCTATGGTCAATTCCTTACTATTTTGGCTCCTTGTGGGATTTATTTCCTCTTCGCCGTCGGTGGGAGCTTACGGTAGTGGACTGAATTTTCGAGAATTGCACTTCGCACACCTGTCGTATTTCGATTTATTCGTCGCGCGTACTTCTGGAGTCGCGTACGGTAGGAAGGTGGATGAAATTCGTCAATGGTTGGCAACAAACGGGCAACTCGCGATTGGCGGCGCCAGATTTTGTGATCTGCTCCGTCATTCGAAGCCTATACGTTACGGATGGCTGATCACCGAGGATGCTAGAAAGATGGATAATAGGGTCTTGGAGTATGTATACGCAATTCTCAGCCAGGGCAGGCGCCTGGGAACTACGTGTGCCGATCGGAATAGTGTTACGAATTTCGAATTTCTAGTGGGATGGGTTCCAGAGAACGCCTCCACGGGAGACTCGGTGGCTTTGCTGGTGGGGTGTTCGGTCCCTGTCATCCTTCGACGACGGCCAGCGGGAGGGTATTGGATAGTAGGGGATGCCCATTTTCCTACGACTATGTACGGTGAGGCCGCCAAGGACATGTACACTTGGCAGAACATTGACCTTTACTGAGGGAGGTGACTCTTCTCCGTTGATAGCTATCTCCCTCAACTTTCCGAAAACGACTCGGCAGTTGGGGTCTCCCTCGCGGAATTTGACCATGTCCGAATGCTTTTCGTAATACCTCCCTCCTACTTCATAAGGTGATTTTTCTCCCCGTACGATGCAAACGAATATCAACATCGCTGATCAGAATGTGCCTAACCCACATGATGATAATTACGACCGGTTGTCCGACACGTACCTCATTAGAAAGACTGCGGATGCCGATAATACTGAGGAACACTGTTCCTTCTGCTTCGATGATTGGTAGATCGGGGACGGGATGGTTCGACTGCGCTGTTGCAATCACTGGTTGCACGAATACTGCCTATCTAAGTCCGTTCTCGATGACTGTTGCCCCACTTGCAGAATCCGGCTTACTTCATTAAATGATGTGATGGTCCTCTCAGAGGCTGCTTCAACGGGAGATATTCTAAAGGTCAAGGAGCTTTTGGAAAGGGATACGTGTTGTACGGCGCAAGACTTCTACGGCAGGGCACTTTTACATTTGGCGGTTCTATTTGGACACGAAGAGGTGGTCAAGGAGCTGCTTGACCATGGAGTCGACATATCCATCAGTGATTTAAAGGGGCGGGCAGCGCTCCACCTCGCGGCACAGCGCTATTCTCCAGACATTCTAAGGCTTCTCCTGGAGAGACGAGCTGATATAGCTGCTCGAGATTGCGAAGGTATGACTGCGCTTCACTTTGCATACAAAAATGGCATCACAGAAATGATAGACTACTTGGTCGAGAAGGGAGCCAAAAGAGACGCTAAGACCGAATACGACCTTACACCGGAGATGCTTCATCCTCACAGTGCGTATTCAGAAGCAATGAGATTGTTATCACAGTAACTATGTGCATTCATTGATATTTCTGTGTCCTATTTTCTGATTGCTGTGAAGGTAGAAAATATCCTCTGGTTTGAGTTTTCAGCAGTTTGGGTAAGGCTTGTTTTGGAGCTGGTAATGGACCCTTGCGTGCTCAAGCTCCTTGTCGAATTGGACCGTGAGAGGGCCTCTCGGAGAAATGTATCTATATGCCGGCTATACGTTTATCGGGGCGACATGTCGTGGTGGCTTGAGGGTTCCTTGAAAAGATCAAAGTGCGACGGAGTCATCATCGCATGTCCGCAAAACAGCAAAGGACAGGTTTGCTAGAAGGGTCGGGTGTATCCCAAGGAGACGAGGAGAAGATCGACCAAAATAGCCAGGCGAGCTTCGACCTCCCACCTGCATGACGTGGGCAGAGACTTAGTGCGGGAGCATGATAAGCTGTTCCCGTGCGATCTTGAAGGCGGGCCAATAGGATATCCGGAGAGTGTGGCAACGCCATTGGCTCATCTGGAGCGTACGGATGAGGACTTTGTATATCTTGGGAAGAACGATACATAGTACAATTCGTGGAAAGCTCTCTGTGAACTTCAGGGAGAGGTGGATATAGCTGTACGGCGGAGGAGAGACGCCATCCAGGCTCAAGGCGAGCATGACGATGAACATGACGATGAACATCGTCATGCTGAGCGCATGAGACAGGAGACACTCCTCCGCAACAGCCAACGACATCCCTCCCACCCATGTCTATCTCCAACTCCCTGTCTCCAAATTTCCAGCCTCCCAACAGTGTGCTCTCCTCTCCTTCTTCCAACAACGACGACGATGGCGATGGTGAAGTCGAAAGCGATGGCGCTGGGGGGGTCGGGGTCAGCGGCCGAGGCGCAGCAAACCTAGGAAGAGCTTCAAGGCTGTTGAGAGCAGCCAGCAGCGGAAGGGCGGGCTTCTGGGGCCCAAGGCGAAGGAACCAGCGAAGAGGCGTAAGCCTGGGAAGAAGACATTGGCGGCGGCGGCAGAGATGTCTCAATTGCTGGACACATATGTTCCACCGCCCAGCAATACTGTAAAATTAGACAGTTAGCAGTTGTCTTAATGTGTGTGCTTACTAACATACCCCGCGTTGAGCCACAGCGCCACAGCGATAAGGTAGGGACCGTAACAATGTTACAGTGGGAATATTACGGTCCGGAGACTTACCGGCTACGAGTGGGACCTAATATCTCAACGGCCTTGCAACCCGGTTGAGTCATTCGAACCATTTCAATGACGAGTTGGCATTTTTCCTTATAAAGAGTGTGGGGTTTTCTGTCGTTGACTTACTCATATTGGCAAGTCAAACCGAAGTACGTGAACATCAATTCCCTTTAAGCTAAGGTGCTTCTGGCAAGTTATATATTCGGAGCGCTCTCCGGTCGATAACAGGTTTCCAAATAACAAAGCATTGCACCTAAAACATGATCGGCCTACACACAGAAGTGGCAAACGCTAGTGACGTACAAGTACTGTATATCATCTTTATGTTTGCCGCTGATATACTATAGAGCGCAAAGAGAAACATGACGAGAGAGTACTAGGAGACGAGTAGACGCTAGTTGAAAGGGGGTAGGGGAAGTGGTCTTTTACCGAAATGGTCTTTCACCAGATAGCGCCTTAGTCAGCAGCGCCCGGGCCAATCCGCTTGGGGGCTTTTAACGAAAGACCGCCCTCACATAACTAGTAGCCTTTATATTAGAATTTATTATTAGCTTCTATCTAACTTATTAGAAGCCGGTTTGAATTAAAATTATATAACTAAAATTAGTTATTAATTACTTTTATATTTTAGTATAATAAATATTAGAAAAAGCTTAAATAGGCCTTTTATTTATAATTACTATTATTTTTACTAATAAGTAAATATTAAGCTTTATTATAATTATATTATTAATAATATAATAAATTAAATAAGCTATAATTAAAAATAAAAAAAATTACTTTTATAAATCTAATAAAAAAACAAGTTCTAAAAAGAAATAATACTAAAAAAATAAATTATAAATTATAATAAATAAGTTTATAAAACAAATTAAGTTTATTTATAAAAAAAATATATTATATTATTATTTTAGTTTAATTTCTTTATTAGAACTAATATAATTATCTAAATTAATTAAACTTTTTATATTTAAATCCTGAAATTCTTATATTTTAGTTAAAAAAATTTTTAGCTAGCTTTAATTAATTTATTTATTATAAATATTATTTTTTATTTTATAATTTTTATATATATTACTATCTTATAATAATTATTAAATAAATATAATATAAATTCTTTTATTATTTTAGTTATTAGAACTGTGAGGTGTTTGTTGGTAGGCAATAAGACAATAGAATGAATCAGTGTATTGTGAAACCACAGTGTTAAATTCAGTACAGAACTAATCTCTGTCCCTCCTGTGAGGTCCAGGGAAGCCCCCTCTAAATAGGAGGCCCCGATGGCATACATACAATTAGTGATTTATAAGCCTAATGCATATGATGTAAACAGTAGTTGGTTGGGATATCGAAGGGCTGCCGAACTCCCTGATCGACACCCGCGATATCCGAGGTTCGTCACATGCCCTTAAGTCACGTGCGACCCTGCACACATCACAAGAACTTTTTATTAATTAGTTTATAAATTATATATAGTTTTTTAAAAGTAATAATAAATTTTTATAAAATTAATTCTATTATTTTTAAATTAATTTATATAAATTAAATATAATAAATTAGAGAAATATATTATTAAAATAGTAATTTATTAAAAGTAATAATAGCTATAAGAAAACAAGATTTTATAATAATAGCTAATTTATAAATAAAAGATATTATAATAATTATATTTAAAATAAATATATATATAATTAAAATAAAAACTAAATATAAAACTAAATTAAATAAAAATAGTTTAAATAAAAACAAAAATAAATAAAATAAAATAGATTTATTTTTTTAAATTATTAATTAAATAATAAAACTAAAAGTTTTTATTTTTTCTTTTTATAATAAGGCTTTTTAATAAATTTTATTTAAAATAATTCCGATTTACTAAAATTTATATTAATATATATAATTTTTTTTTATAATAAAACTATAAAATAGTTCTAATTTATTTATTTTTTATTTTTTAATATAATTTTTTAATTAATTTAATATTAATAGCTTTATTTCTATTAGTTTATTAGTATTTAAAAATAATATATTTTAGATATATATTAATTAAAAATTCAAATTCTTTATTAGTTATTAAAACTAAATAGTTATATTTGAGAAATAAATATCTCGAAATATTATTAATAATAAATTAAATAAAAAAAAGAGAAATATTAAAGTATTTTAATTAAAGTTCTATATAAATCCTATATTACGGGAAAATACTAGTAATAATTATATTTTTTTATATTATATTTGCCTTATTTAAAATAAAGTATAATATATTAAATATAGAGATATAACCTGGCCCTGGAATTATAAATTCAAGGGGTTTTCTGAATAGAAATTCCTGGTTCACATGTGACTATATCTCTTTCATATGTCTGGTAAAGCCGCGGTGTCTAAATTATTATAATTGCTAGGAGTTGGATCTGTGGGCCGATTCACTGGTATACTTCTTCGTACTGGCTGCGCATTGTAGATTGCCGTGAGTGGTCTATGAAGCGCATGATGACTAGCGCTTCTCGCTTAGCTGAGCACGGACCAGTCATCCTTTGGAATATTTCTACCTCAAGGATTCCTCTTCTCTATTGAGCTATAGATCTTGTAACATCCAACTGTTACGATACTCACCTTTGATCAAAAGTCACAACTCAAAGCAGATTACTTGCCTCATACACCACTTACCTCCTACATCACCTACCTCCCACACCAAGCGCTCAGAGCTCGATCACCGCCTTGGGAGATGGCACAAACAAATGAACAAAGCACCGCAGGTCGATCCAGCAACCCAATGACATTATGCATCGAAGCATGCAAGGCCGACGATGTATCGCTGATGGAACAGGCTATATCAATCGCCTCCAAATCTAACTCGAGCCATGCAGTCCAGGACGTCGTTCAACGGGGCCTTAGGCGCTCAGCAGCAAGGGGAGCGGTTCACGTGCTTAACTATTTAGTTGACCACCCTCACGGCGCTGATGTCGCAGCACTGAGTGCCTCAGATATTATGGTCAATGATGATATGGCCAAACCTTCGCAAGAGATCCTTGAGATCCTCGTTGCTCACGGATGGGATATCAATACACAAGGCCCTGGTAAGATTACTAGTTGGCCGTTGCTTTGGCATGTCGTGGAATATCCGGATCTTGTTAGATTGTGCTTGGATCACGGCGCTAGAGTTGATATTCCTGACAACCCGCCTCAAGTCAAGGATGGCGTGCAGAGCCGTACAGGTGTGCCACCCCCAACAATTCTCGGCATGGCGGCGTCGTCAGGCAGTGTCGAGACATTCGAGCTACTACGAGCGAAAGGCGCTCCCTTGGACCCACGGACGCTGCACCGCGCAGTCGAGCAAGCCACGATCCTAGCACCAAAAGAGGGCTCTGAGCCCAGCTCATTCTATACACACCGTATGGACATGATACGCCATCTTGTAGACGTCGCCAAGCTTGACGTCAATGCCGTACAACACCAGCTTGGCCGCCAATGCAGCACTCCACTTTGCACCGTGGCTGGACGACCCACCAATCAAATATTTCGAGAGCTGGTATACTTCTTACTGGATCGCGGCGCGGATCCAAATCTGAATTGTAAGACGCAGGAAGATACAAATTGGCCGAGTGCCGTTGCTTGCGCTCAGTCTTGTGGCAATATGCGCTTCTTACAAGCTGTAAAGGACTGGCAGGCAGAGAAGCAGGTTGAGAAGCAGGGTGAGCGGGGGGGCGATACAGATTGACATAGCTGCAACAAGCTGCGTGGTGGTGAATTTGGGTTGGTACATTTGCTTGATATTGCATTGTGCACGAAAATACTATTGCAACTTCGAATTTTGAATATAAAACGGTCAACCTGCTGCCAGGAACTACGATCAAGACATCTTTTACTCCAAATCCTCCTTCCCTTCCCTCTTCCCTCTTCCTTCTTCCTTCTTCCCTCACTATTCTACTTGTCTTTCTCGCCAAAGCCATTCTCACAAACTCAATTTCCTATCTCCAAACGACGCAGCCCTTGACACGGTTGACAAATAGTAGTACGTCCTATACACCATCACCAACACCATCACACCCGCGTCGACTTCCCTTGACTTACGACGGCGCTGCTAGTGCTGATTATCGTGCTTACGCGGCTTGATATTGGAGTCGTATTTGCTTTTCAGCTCGTTAATGAAGAAAGGGGGAGGCGGAATGTCGTGCGTCATATGGAAAAAGTTCTCTGAATATGCACTGGGAGTTGAATCCTTCGTGGAATCCTTCGTGTAATCCGTCGTGTAATCCGTCGTGTAATCCGTCGTGTAATCCTTCGTGTAACCCATCGTGGAATCCTTCGTGGAATCCTTCGCGTTGAATCCTTCATGTTCGCCCTCATAATCTCATGAGACACTTCCACTATCCCAAAATTCTGTTGAAGATATAAATCGACATTTTCGCTCATGATTATCAAAAGGAATCTCTGCAGGTTATCAAGACTTAAAATGTTGGATATTGTATTTTATTGTCTATCGTTCCGTGCCTTGTCCTTAAAGAATGCCGGTAGTATATATGAGACAGTGTTACTGAAGCATGGAAATTTGAAATCCCATGAACGACTTGCAGTTGCAGGACCGTGAAAAGTAAGAGGGATAATTTGATTGATATGGTAAGGATGAAGGGGATGTAGTGGGGGATTTGTAGTCGATTGTTTGGAGGTTATATTTTGGGGGTTGTGGTGGGGTTTGGTGAGAGTTCTGTTTTTGGGGGTTCTGTTCTGGGGTTGGAGGAGAAGGAGCAGGTTGTGGTGGGGTTTAGTGAGATTTCTGTTGGTGCTGGTGAGGATACTGGTGGATTCCATAGTCGCTGAATGGCGTTGGTGTGAGAGGGAGCTTCTTTTGGGAGGAATGGTTGAGTGATGGTAGAAGACCTATACGAGACTCACATCTTGAAGACAGGTAATGTTTGATATAAAAGTCTATAATTCAGACTAGAGATTGTAAACTACGACATTTCCGGAAGCGACAGTATGAATAAAGCAACGCCACGATATCCGTGTATCCAGTATCCGTTCCATCATGAATGCGGGAAAGTAGATGCCAAATTCATCACTCGTATAAGTTACAATTCGAGCCATTTCCCCTATATGGTGTGTTCCACTATAGCTTCTGATCTCGAAAGCTACTTGCCAGCCGAACCCAGGCTTAGAGACCCCAATGTGAATGGTTTTTCGTTCTGATATTGGATGGAGGTCAAGTTAGGATATGTTTGTGAATCAGTATCAAATTGAGCGAAGCAGCCACCATCCTTGTAGGCAATCAGATCAGCTGAGTTGGAAGCTGCCGTACTGATGTAGGTGAGTGCAAAGCAAGCGAATGTTATTGGGTTGCCCTTCGAGTCTGTAGGGCTGTAACATTGGCCTATTGCATTTAGGATAGTTTGCTCGAGGACGTTGATGCAATCGGAATCAGTATATATATCGATATACACCTGACCCGTAGGCGTGGGTGCAGCAGTCGAGCTTGTTGTGACTGCTGTAGGAGCAAAGGATGCACAATATGTATTTGTAACGCAAGCCGTTTCACCTGATTAGTTATTAGTGACAGGTTCGGGACAAGTTCAACGGTGATGAAGAGTTACATACTTGGGTTAGGTCCGAGAGCGCACTGAGTCGAAGTAGCGGTCGATACACAGGTTTCACCGGCTGGTGTACTTTGAGCAGTGGTAAGCGTCGGCAGGTTACTCAATGGGGGCGATGAACTCCCGCTTGGTGTAGGTGTAATTGTTACGGTACTCGGGGTGGATGCCGGGATCGATGAGCTCGGAGGAACCGATGTCGATGAGATTGATGTGGTCGGAGGTACTGATGTCGGTGTGCCAGGGGATGTCGTTGGAGAGCTACAAAGACTACCAGCTTGGCGCTTTTGGTTGGCGGGACATGAGCCAGTTTGACTAGGCATATGTTAGTAGACAAAGATGTAATAGTAGGTCTGGTCAATTAGGATAATACACCAGGCCCGGGCCTCATATAAACTCCCTAGTCGTCTTGAGGCTTCTTTGACGGATGATTTGCTACTTACCCTGGTAAAGCGTCCCATTGGTCAGAACCCATCAATTTGCCCTGCATCCAGCACTGCCAAATAGCCTGCTGAGGAGGGCCGATTGGTTCGAATGTATTCGGGTCTTCCTTTTGATTGTTGCTGTATACGACCTATGATAAATGTGCTTGTTAGATCCATGTAATTGCAGTATAGGCTCCTTAGAAACACGATGCAGGGGAAATGGCCCAACACTTACGGTTGCTTTGCCGTAGCCATCCGAGCTCAGAAATCTATCGTTGGTCTGCCTCCTGTAGGTGAATTGCGAAATTGGCACACCGGGCATTAGTTGTCCCAATTGTGTTTTGATTGGGGTGAGTCTATCTGGAAGCGTAACGCCCTGTGGAATCGTAGTTGAACCATCGAAGAGAGGTTGGAAGTCTCCGTTCGTAAGACTGGCGCGCTGATCGGCGCTGGAAACGCCCGCAGTAAGATCAAGATCGAGGGTCGCTGGTGTCATAATGAAAATCTTCGTGGTCGCAGTGTCACCGAACACACCGCCCTGTACGAGAACTGTAAGTGACTCAGTAACGCCGTTCTCAGTTACACCGCCGGTAAGACCACTGTCACGACCAGTGCTACAAGTGCAGATGTCAGTAAAGGTTAGCGAGGGGTTGGGGCGATGATATGAGAACAAGGAGAGGTTCTCTCGGCGTACTTTAGGTAATTGACTACACCCGTCTGGAAATTGTAACTGGGACTCACGCCAAAGTATGGTTCCCAGAGGTGGCTGACATATACACCTACACAGGTAAGTATCAGTATTGAGTTCTTTCAAAAGTGGCTAAAGGACTAAAAGCTTACCAAGCCGGGACACCACCACGACGGAAGTGCAGCCTCTCAAGCCTTCGACCAAGATATTTAGCTCGGAGTTGTCAAAGTATTTAAACCGAGAACTCGAGATTTCCGTCTGGCCCACGTTGTCTTCTGAGACCACAGTCGTATCCGACGCGCCAGCGACCTCGGAATAGAATTCAGCAATACCATCAGCGTTTGCTTCACTTGGAATATCACGCTCGGCCAAAGTCAAGTTTCGGGCATAGGAAAACAGGTCCTTTGCCTTCTTTGTGTCCGTCGTTGGCAGGGGAGGCGCTGCTGTAGCAGTTGTGAGTCCTCGCTTAGCTACGCAAGCCGTACAACCAAGGGTGCAAGAGTATGGGTAGTCTGAGCTTGATGCAGTTGAAGTAGTCGCGGTCGAGCTTGCGCTGTCTGTAACATCACAACCGAATATAGTGGCACACGTTGAAAGCACCGAGGAGGTGGTGGTAACAGTAGCAGTGTCGACGCCGAATGATGTACTAGTCAAGCAAACCTCAGCCGACTCAGTCTTGCAACCATCATCAGGTCCATCGGTTGGCTTTGGCTCATATGTTGGTAAATTATCGGGACCGATAGTAACCGATGGCCAGGGAGGTAGTGTGCCGCTGATGCTGACCGAGATGGAAAGCGATGGGGGGAAGGTAATCCCTGGTGGCGGACCAGGAGGGCGAACACCAGTCGGCAGGTTGAATTCCCAGCCGCCGATGCTAATATCCCCAAACTGAATGCACAAGTCGAAGAACCAGAGGTTGCAAGGTATTTCAGTCCCACCATCGGTCGCCTTTGCAGATAAGGTCAGTGAAAATTTCAGACAGGAGGTGAAGCTTAGAGTGGATGGAAACTTGGAAAGCAAGCCAGATCCAGCAAGTTACTATTACTGCTAGCGAGAACGCTTTCGCTGGTCAGACTTACCTTAGGTGCCGGCACGGAAGTGGTAACGGGAAAGATTCCACCGATCGGTATTGTCGATGAAGATGTGCTGCTCGAGCTCGGCGGACCTGTTGGGGAGAAAGTGAACACAGATCCTTCTCCATTTGTAACGGTGATTGGTGTAGTGACCGCTGTAGGGATTGTAAATCCCTCTCCGGAGCTTGAAATCACGGTCTCACCGGCAGGATCCGTTGTGGTGATAATCCCAGGAGGGCCTGATAATGAAGTTGGGCTTGAGCTGCCTGGTGGGGGTGAGAATGTTGGGGAAAATGTAAAAACAGAGCCATCACCGTTGGTAAGAGTAATTGGTGTAGTGACCGCCGTAGGGATTGTAAATCCCTCTCCGGAGCTTGAAATTACTGTCTCACCAGCGGGATCCGTTGTGGTAATAACTCCAGGAGGGCCTGATGATGAAGTTGGGCTCGAGCTGCCTGGTGGGGGTGAGACGGTTGGCGAAAATGTAAAAATAGAGCCATTACCATTGGTAAGAGTAATTGGTGTAGTGGCCGCCGTAGGGATTGTAAACTGCTCGCCGGAGCTTGATATCACGGTCTCTCCTGCAGGATCTGTTGTAGTGAGAATGCCAGGCAAGCTTGATGAGCTCGTTGCTTGAGTGGTAGGTTGGAAGGTAACGATAGAGCTATCCGGCAAGGTGACAACGCTGGCAGTAGAGATACCAGTAGGAAGTGTAACGGCTCCTGAACTATCCGAAATTACTGTTTGTCCGAGAGAGTTTGTCGTGGTAACGACGCCGGAGATAGTTGTGGGCGGGGACGAAGACCCAGTAGCAGTAGTAGATGGTTGAAAGGTAACAACAGAACCATCAGGCAAGGTAACAACGCTAGCAGTAGAGATACCTGTAGAAAGGGTAACGGCTCCTGAGCTGTCGGAGATTACGGTCTGTCCGAGAGAATTGGTCGTAGTGACGACGCCGGGGACGGTTGCGGGCGGGGACGAAGACCCAGGAGTAGTAGTAGATGGCTGAAAGGTAACAATAGAACCATCGGGCAAGGTGACAACGCTGGCAGTAGATATACCAGTTGTCAGTGTAACAGCACCAGAGCTGTCGGAGATTACAGTCTGTCCCAGAGAGTTGGTCGTTGTAACAATTCCAGGTATTGTGGAAGAACCAGGGGTAGTTGTGGAAGAGCCTGGTGTGATTGAGGAAGAACCTGGGGGGGTCGAGGAAGACCCTGGGGGCACACTGCTGCTGCTCGCTGGAGGAACAACGGCTGTGCTACTGGCGGGTGAAATTGTAGCCGTCGAACTGTTGGTGTGAGTCACAATTGACGTGCTGCTGCTTGCCGGAGGGACGACTGTAATGCTGGTCGAGGTAGACAGTGTCGTAGGAATGCTGGTAGTGATAGTTGTGACACAAGTAGTCGTCGTACCAGTTGTCTGTACCGGAGCCGATGAAGTCGAGTGACCGTGACACTGAGGACGTTTGCTACAAAACTTGCCCTTGCAGCTGGTGCCGCAGCAGCTATAGGGAACAATGCAATGGTCTCCAGCATGGAGAGTCGATAGCAGCGGGTTAGCGTCCAGGAGACATCTGAAATCGATAATAAGTTCCTCTGCAAGTTCCTCTAGCGTGGCGAAGTCGGAGAGGTGGACTTCGACGGCGGTGTCAACGTTGGCAGATACGGCGAGGTCACGCTCTGCACGTTGTTGCTGGTTCCTTGTGGGGATCCATGAGGCTTGAGTAAGACTTGTCGCGAGCAGGATTGCTAAAGTCCAGTGAGCAAACTCCATCTTAGTATGAGATTGGCAATGACATGAGAAACGAGAAAGACTGTTTGTTTGAGGAAGTTTGAGGACTTACTTAGAGGGACGTGGATGCAAATTATATATGCCTCCTAGTTGTGGTCAAAGTATACCCTCTGGCTACGCATCGAAAGGCCTCACCTTCTTCGCCGCAGGCAAGGGATTGGTGGCGTGGCTATCGCACGGTATTCCATAGGGAACACAATGTCATTCACATTACACAGCAGACTTCAGCCGCACAGTATTTCATGTGAAAGACTGTTTCATGTACATTGCACAGCAGAACTCAGCCGTACTATTTATTGAAGTACTTACGAAAATAACAGTCGTGCCGCTCCTCTACCTAAAGAGTGACGGCTTGGTGGAGTTGGCGGGGATAGTAATTGGCCTTTTCACAATTTTCTCAGCTTTGGGATCCTGCCTACTGTGCCAGTAAGGGCCCGTTTCGCACGGGCTCACGAAGTTGAAAGCTGAATATTAGTAATATTGAACTCTAGCGTTCAACGCCCGATATTGAACGCTAGTATCTGTACAATTTGGACTTGTTTCGCACGCCGTAGATACTCAGTATTCATAATAATTACGGAGGTTTCAGATTCATCTCCGCTAGCATTTTCAGCCTCTATTTTCAGACTCACTAATCTTCCACTTCTCATTCCTAAAATAATTAGTGATTACTCCCTATCCCTTCGTTGGTGAGACATGGTCCGTACTAGCAAGGGGGCCTGGCTCAGGGCAAAAAGGCGATTTATGACTAATAAGTTTCTAAGCAAAAGTACGTCTTTTCGCCCTGAGCCAGGCCCCCTTGCTAGTACGGACCATGTCTCACCGGACGAAGGATTAATTATAGCGTCTTAAAGCCTGAATTTATTTTATTCTTAAATGGAAAAGTAATTAATAAAATAATTATATCTTATATTACTTACTACTAAATAAATCAATCCGAGATTATTTCTACGAGAATCGCAAAATTTTAGGCTTTAGAAAGAATTTATGCCCTGAAGTCATTACCAAACTTGTCCCAAAACAAAATGAAGGAAGATAATTAATTATTAAATGCTGGTATATAATGGAGCCCACTGTAAATTAGGGCATTTAGGGTATATAGGGTATATATAGTAGCCTAAGGCCGAGCTTTGAACGCTCAGTATTTTGAGAACGACCTTCTAGAGGTCGTTCTGAAAATACTGAGATTAGTATGGGGGGGCAAATACTGGCATTCAAATACCAGCGTTCAAATCTAGTTTCCCCCCAAAAAAAATGCGAAACGCTAATTTTTGTAATATCCGAACGCCAGTATTCGGATATTGGCAGTATCCGAATATTGGCGGGGTGCGAAACGGGCCCTAATACACATGTCAACGCGTTAGTAAGGAATAATCCGGATAGGTGGTGAGTGTCCTCCTTGCCGAATATCAATTATCTTAAAACATTGCTTAATATCAGCTGCTCGATCCTTCGAGATTGTTGTAATCATAGACAGTGGGGATAGAGTCCGGGAACCTGCCGGTTGCTTATTTTGTACCTGCGGCTTATTTTGTACCTGCGGCTTATTTTGTGCCTGCAGCTTATTTTGTACCTGCAGCTTATTTCTACTAATCGTCAGCCTCGCTTGTGCGCTGACTGTTCTCGCGAGTAACAGTCAGCGATACGCGACGCTGACGATCATACCTGCCTCGATTTCTATCTCCTCCTCCCTTCCTACCTAAATCCAAGCAAGACAATCTCCCTCCTCCTGCCCCGCCTCCCCAACCCTCTCCTTACAAAATAACCTTGAAAAAAACACTCCTTCCCATTCCTAGAAACGCTTTATATTAGCTTCTTCTCTTCTCCAAAATGCGTTGAAAACAATATCGATACAAAGGGCGAAGAGGGAAGGCAAAATGCAAAAGTAAAAGGTAAGAAAAACATATCTAGGAAGGAAAGGGGAAGAAACAGTTTTTGCCCCTCTCTCCAAAAACAACTTGTCTAAGGAAAGAAACATCCACTCCCCTCCCAAACATCTCCTATACCCAAGCCCGAAGAAAGAAACCTTGTTCTTGTTTGCCTCGACTCCCTCCCTTTCAACTACAGTAGAATTCACTGGAGAAAGTAAAGTAAACAAACTTACGAATCCAAACACCTCCTCATCATATCCTCCCACCTATGCTTCGCCTCCCTCCGATGGCCCCCCCTCCACCTATTCGCCTCCCTCACCAACTCCATCCAATCCCTCATCACCCCCTCACACCCCTCTTATCAGGAATATTACCCCTCCCAACCAAGTCCTTCCATTCCTCGATATTGAATTCCTTGCCTTTGCCCGTCTGATGTTTCAATCGCTCCATGTCCTTTGCTACCCAGCGTATGCTTCCTAAGACGTCGGTTAGTCGGTACTGCGCCATTATCTGGAGGAGTTTTCACCAAAAGTACCTCATGTCGCACTCCCAATAAGGTTGGCGATTTTAAACTTAGTCTATTGTTACAGTAATTAGTTTGTTGGTCGTAGGAGAAGTACACGGAGGGCGAGCATCATGGCCTACATTTTTTTCATTGAATCCACAGGTTTCGAGGCTGTACTAGTTAAATTAAAATAAGTGTTTCACAGGCAATTAGATCGAGATTTCGTTCACCGCAGTGGACGGGTTGCAAAGACATATTGTAGCTGTATTGATCCCTGCACCACAAGAATCCAAAAGGTCGCAAGTTCACAACCCCAGAGAGCTCGCAGCGTGGTTCTGTGTTTACGTCAGCAGCAACAAAGCCGTCGAGCTGACAGTTTTTCTAAATGGACTAGGATTTATGGTATGGCGGACCTTGCTGGTCTTAACTAGTGACTCGAGCATGTCGTCCAACCACCAGTATAGAGAGCATGAGAACAAATAATGGGAGTTGTATGCAGTAACATTATGACAGCCCACAAGACAGCAAGTGAGATATTGCAAAAACCTGTATAAGTTCTCCAGCTAGGGGTGGCCGTTATTATTATCAAAATATGAACTTAAACAATTACAGGCTAGTAAAAATGCACTTGTATTAAATAATAACAAGCTATAAGTAAACTCCAGAAAGTATTAATCAGTGTGAGAAATGAATAGATTAGATTAGATTAATGGCCATTAATCTAATCTATTCATGCAATTTTCTCATTAATCATATTCTATTCACGAATTAATTAAGATAATCATGAATATTCATAAATACCTTGATTAATGTACACGTGACTGCCGCACGTGATATGCTAACCTAATTAGGTAAGGATCTGGCTCTAGTGCTACCTTGCTCCTAGAGAGAAAAGCTCGCTAAGGCAGTGCTAGAGCAAGAACCTTACTTAATTAGGCTAGTTTATTACCTGACGCGGTCACGTGTATATTAATCAAGGTATTCATGAATATTCATGATTAATTATTCTAATCTAATCAAATTACATAAGTATCACGTTAATCAAATTTTATTCACGCCATTCATGAATATTCATGAATTAATCAATTAATCTGATTAATTTTTTCGCACACTGGTATTAATGAAAGCAATAGATTTATATAAGGTGTTTCTTATTGTCTAGAATGGAAAGCAAAGTCTTGCTAGTAATGCAAATATAAGAACCTTTAAAATTATACCCAGTTATTGGTAATATAGATAGCAAATCTAAACCCCTAACCCTAAAAATTATGAGCATGGAAATACCTCTTTGTCTTTCATGTAATGTTTCTAACTCTAGAAGAAGGGATTTTTTATATCTGAAGGAAGCAATTATCTTTTGCTTTTAAAGTCAATCCTTTATTCAATGTTCTTGATTTCTTATTCTGAGCAAATGAAGCAGTCTCAAAACCTAGCCTCTAGGAACAGACGATCTCAGGATTAATAGTCTCCTTCACCATTGCAACTGCAAGTTACTATTGCCAAAAATAGCAATGGTAAGACACGAGACAATTTGTGGGAATCACGACTTCCGTCTAGTACTAGGTACTTTTCAATAGCAACATTCTCGCGCTTGGCTGAAGTGTGGAGAGGCTGGGTTCTGTTTCCTTCGACTAGCAACAGCCGGTTGCCGTTGCAAACAAGAAAACGATAGGACGTAACAGACAAGCTGGACCCGAAAACTTCGGGCCTGGGCAAGCTCAAGATAGTGTCTTAGGATCCTTTATTCCAACTCCAGCAATAATGGGGTGTTCACGTTAGAGGGTGAGGCTGAGCTGCACCTTTTCGGTATTGTGAGCGTGAGGCGTGGTGTTGAGTAATGCCAAGACCTTGGCACTGCATCATTGTCTAGTTAAAGGGAAGCAAAAATGGATTTCTGTTGCCCCTGGCCAAAGCTTTGCATCCCTCTGCATCTGGTAATGGAGATGACACCATTATATTAAGTTAGGATTCCCTCTGGAAGATTTCGCAGCATAAGATGTTTTTCTTTTAGAGAGTATGCTTCTCTCTTCGATTTAAACACTTCAAAGTTTGGCTATATTAGTTGTGCATAATTACGAGAGAATTTAGGAAGTAGATCTATCTTTCTTTTTTATCGTAATTTTTAATATTAACTAACTGGGTACTTACTAGGTGTGAAGCTTTTGTGTACTGTAAGTGGGTTTAATCGAGCAGTGTCGTAGAGTTCAACCGCGAGGGATAGCGAAATGTTTCGAGTTAATAACATAAGCAGCAAATACGATTGAACGAGAGTTTTGATCAATAATTGATGAAATAACCTCATACTTCCTCACGCTGGGCCATTTTATATCTGCTCAGCCTCCTCTGCGTTAAAGGGCCTGCCGGCAAACTCATTCCTGTCCTTCTGTCTCTTCAAAATCGCCTCTTCAATCTCGCTCCCGGAATCAATCAGGCGATATGATCTAGAAAGTGGGTTCCTTTGACCAATTCGATGAACACGAGCATAAGCCTGCATCTCCCGTACAAACTCATTATCCGGTTCCATTAACACGATGTTGGATGCTCGTGTTAGCTGAAGACCAACGCCAAGTAATCTTGATGTCCCAATCAGGAAACGGACATCTGTCTTGCTCTTTCGTTTGCCCTTGAGGTCCATTGCATCGGTGAAAGCGTTTATAATCTCAGCTTTCTCGCTTGCTTTCATGCGTCCTGCAATCACACCAACCCGCTCCTTCTCCTCGGGGAAATATTTCTGGATAAACTGCTTGCACGTTAGTGGGCTCTACTGTGGAGTAAGAAATGTAGTCATACTTACCAGTTTCAAAAGAAAGGCCACTTGCGGAAAGTTCGTCAAAATTACAAGCTTTTGGTCATTGCCAGAGACGTCTTTCTGGGAAAGGATTTGGGGAATAAAAGTGTACAGCCACACGCATTTTGGGCTTCCTTCGACAATTTGTCTGAGGTGCTTTCCATACGGCGTATTGAACTCCTTTTTGTCGATAGCGCTTTTAAATGACTGGACTTCCTCCCCGGTGAGAGTCAAGCGGTCAGCCGCTTCGTCGCTTGTGACAAGTTTGAACAGATATGGAAATGTAGCGAGAATTCGCGACCTCCAGGATGTCTTGCATATGGCGTTAAAGCCGAGTCGCGTCGGACGAATATCTGACCGTCTGCTGTCTGGAAAGTTGTCCCATTTTCCCTGCAGTTGCTCAAGAACAGCATCTCTCTCCGAGTCGAACTTTGCCTCGAAAGCAGGGATCAATGCATCGAATGTTTCGTTTGGCTTGATATATACGTCTTGGTGGATATGTGGCTGTTTCTTGATCAAGGATTGGCTTTCGAACCACTCGGTCTCTGCAGTCCGTCTAATCATGAATTTACCCAAGAACGGCTTGAATGCAGCGAGTATCTGTTTCACCGCTTCATCATCCCTCTTGTTGCTCTTGACCTGGGAGTCGTACTCCTTACATATGGCGTCAAGCTTTTCCCATTTGAAGTCAGTGTCATGTGTGACAGAGTGCTTCTCAATCGCCCAAAGGACCCCCTCGAGCCCTCTTGGCGTCTGCGAAAATGGCGTCCCAGAGTAGCCCCAGACGAAAGGCCGTACTGAGTTGTTCCAAGTTGGGAGATTGGCAAGAATTTCAGCCCTCCCCTTGTTCTTGAAGTATTCTTCGTGAGATTCGTCGATCATGCCGATTCCAAATATAAGACAAGATCTAGTCCCAGACTTCCACTCCCCACCTTTCTTTGGATCACGGACTTGGCCATTTGTCTCAAACTTTCTTGCGAACTTTGGATACGTCTCTTTCGTCGTCAGTAAAAGGTACCCTTCATGGTATTCCTTTGGCCTGTCATCTCCATTCCCATCTTTTCCTCGTATATACTTTTCAGCCTGCATCCTTGTTATATTCTGAGCTGTCTCCCCACTCGCCAATCTATCTGCAATGGTTATGTTGATGTTATTAAAAGTTGCAGGATGGTCTACTACAATCTTCAAGGCGAGCTCGTTGTTGGTGATATCGACGTGAGTTTTCCACTGTGCCCACCATTGTCCCACCAAACCTTGTGGTACGCACGCCATTCTCAATCCTGGTTGCGGGGCCATCCTCGAAGTCGGGCTTATAGAAGAACATGGACATGCGATCCATCCCGCTTTTGATGGACTGGGACATTCGCCTCTCTGGCCTTTGAGCAAATGTTTGCCATCTTGCAAAGCTCGTGATTTTGATACTTCCCTATAAAGAACAGATAATTGGCGTTCAGTAACGAAATAGGCGAGGAATGAGAGTGTCTTTCCAAGCCCCATGTCGTCAGCGAGGAAACCGCCACCAAGCTCGCGTGATGTGAACATTTGCCAGTAAACTCCGAATGCTTGATATTGATAGATCTTGGTATTGAGACCAGTAACCGTAATGAAATTGTCAATTTTGGTTCCTTTGGGATCGTGTCTGAACATCGCGCAGCATTCCTTCCAGCGAACGAGCGTATCCTGTGTGTCGCGAGGATCTCTGAGTTGTGTTAATTCGCCGAGGTTCTGCAATTTCTGGAGCCTTGAGGATTGTTAGCTTTCCTCAATATCCTTCATGTAGGAATGTACGTGGTCACCAAGAGAGTACATACTTGCTAACTATGCGATCTTCGTTTGAGACTTCTTCTTCTTCGTCATCGTCATCTTTTTGCTTCTCTTCCAGTTGTTCTTCCGCCTCTCCCTCCGCTGTCCCATCACCAAGAATGTCCAGTTTATCTGCATCTCCGTCGTCTGCTCCCTCGGCTCCACCACGTTTGAAAGTGACTCGCTTCTCTTCTTGGTACAAGAATTTGAATCGTTCACTCTCTTCATCCTTGGTCTCAGGGATCCTCTTCACAGGACCATTGACAGCTTTCATTACGGCGGCTTTGATTGATCCAATATGAGACTGCTTGCTACTGTTCGTCGATCGTGGACTTGGCGGTGTTGTAGCGACAGTATATCCACTCTCTCTTCTCGGGTTGGAAAAGTGATCTGTATGCGGCGAAATTCGGCGATTTGGCAAACCGGTCATTGCAGAAACTTGCACAGAGAGATCTGTACGGGCTCTTCTTATATCTTCAGATCCTTGCTCGGAGTCTGCTGTGGTGAATGGGCTGAGGCGTTCTTGTGGTAAAATCTTACTTGGTGTTTCCCCAGGAAAAGTTCTTCCTCGATCAGCTTCGTCATCCGTCTCTTTTAACCGTGCATCGTTGTGTCCGTCCTTGATCTCGAGTCGTTTCTTCCTGTGCTGCTCAGACTCTGGTTGAAATACGAATGTCAACACGTTATTGTTGCCGCGATTTAGATACAAGTTATTGAGCGCAACTCCGAAGCTGTCTTGATCTACCACAGCTTCATAAATTCCTTTGTGGTCGAGGAATCCAAGCTTGCCAAACATTATATGTATAGGGTTCCCGCCGTCGGCTATATGCAGCTTCTCTTCGAAAGCCATGAGAAATGACTCGAAACTGTAGTTATGTACTTTATCTGAGTCTCGGCCACTTTCTAAGAAACGTGACGCAGGAGCCTTTACCACATTGGTGTCATCCTCAGTGACGGCTCCTGTTCTCCAAACCTCAAGCTCGAAGGTCTTCTGGTGAAGACCTGCTTGCTGAACCCGGTGGTTGAAACAACTGGCTGGGTGCACACCCTCATTGCCATGTTGTAATAAATTATGATGAACCGAATCCGAGCCAAGGGGGTTTGCGACATTCTCGGGGTCAAAAGCGGAACTGCTCCTCTCCCTCTTCTCCTTGCTGTCCCTTCCGAATGTGTTTTTGAAACGCTTGAACATTATCAATCCCGGCAGGGTGATACTCTGACAATACTGGAGGGTTTTGTCCGATTGGTATTTCAATTCAGAGAAAGGCTTTTCCAGCCTTCTCACGATGGTAACGATTTCGTGGATGTTTATCGGCTAGCCAATATCAAGAGAAAGAGAGGAAATGCAAATCTGAAGTCCTCGAGTCTCCGCCCTATGCCTCGAGTTATGTGCTTCATGGCATTTTGCTGCATCCAGCATAGACGGATCTGGTAGGATAAAGGTGCTTTCAGTATTGACGGAAACGGTTGGTAGTCAACGAAAATCATCGCGCAACAAAGAAACGTAGGTGGACCTTTCAGCAGTTAGAATAAAAGTAAGCCACAAAGAAAGACCTGGGCTTGGTAAGTGCAATATGGTTTGGGAGGCTTTGTGGCCCTCAACTTCGAAGTTCATAGTGGGGTGCTAGACTAGAAGCCCCTATAACCATAGCGAGTCAGGAGTCAGGTTTAGCGACCGCCCCCTATCTGCAAGCGAATTTCGGTTTGCGAGGAAACGCCCAGCAGCGGGGCAGCTGACTCAGCACCCTGTACCTTCACCACTTCAGCAAAAATCAACGTCGCGTCGTACAGGCGCGTTTCCATACTCACAGCACAAGCAACTGAAGAGACTGTCTTCGGCCATTTTCTTGCAACATTCTTTTGGTTTCACTTGATCTGCCACTGGATGCTTGAAGAGACCGAGATGCCCCTGTCTGCTCGAGAGCTTAAGTTCTTAACAGCTTCTGCTCATGGCGGGGATAAATCCAGGCCCCTTCGTTCAACGGCACCCTCAGACCAAAGACTAACATCACCGCTACGTGAGTTGGCTTCGCAGATTAGGGCGAGACAATCCAGAATGTTCCTGTCAGCATGTAGCTTGAAGTTTGCCATTCGCATGCGACAGCATCCCGTCCTCACCACGAGAAAGAACCGACATCGCAAAGAACTCTCAATCTACTTCTCGCGCTCTACTGTTACCTTCGGTATCGAATCTATGAGATTTCGGAACAGAAGATCCATTTCCTGCCGTACATTTTCCTCGTCGACACCCAACACCTTCCTCCCCTCCATCACGATCCTTCCATCGACAATCACGGTATCCACTCCCGACCCATTGCATCCGAAAACAAGATGGCTTTCCAGCATGCGCCGTCGTTCTTCCTTGGGCTCCTTGAGAAGCGGCGTAAACATCATGTCCTTCTTCAAATCAAGAAGAATCACGTCCGCCTTCTTCCCCGCTACCAACATTCCAGCATCAATACCCAAAGCTTTTGCGCCATTGCTTGTCCCCATCCTCAGAATCTGGCTTGGCTGTCCCAACGAAGCATCCTCCATCGTCGCTCGCTGCATATAAGATGTTATCTTCATCTCTTCGAACATATCTGTGGAATTATGGCACTCGCACGCATCAACCCCCAAGCCGATATTGATACCGGCTTTGAGCATGTCCTGGACTCTAGCAACTCCATTTCCGAGCTTCGCATTTGACCCTGCGTTGTGCGAGAATGATGTGCCAGTCTCGCCTAGTAGCCGAATCTCGTTGTCTGACAAGTGTACACAATGCGCTGCCACGCAATCCGGACCCAGGATTCCAGCCTCGTAAACCATCTCCACGGGACGTTTGCCAAATCTCTTCATGCTATCCGCGATCTCAGTTCTGCTCTCGCACAAATGGATGTGGACGCCAGTTCCCAGCTCTTTCTTCACCCGTCCAATCTCAGCGAGCAAAGGTTCGTCGGAAAGCGGCATCCACTCTAGGCCAAGCCAAACCTTGATGCGCCCGTTTCCCTTGTTATTGTTGCGCTTGAATGCTTGCACATTATCATCTACGGAATCAAGCATATGCTCAGGAAGCGCAATATTGTTGCTAATGACCGCCCGAATCCCAGTTTGCAATGCAGCACTCGCAAGTGAGTCCAGGTGGCGGTACATATCGTTCACAGTCGTAGTTCCAGACTTCAGAGCTGTGATGTACGAGTGCAAGGCCGCCGTGAGGCACGTCTCTGGTGTCAGGGCTCGAATTGAGGGATACCATATTCGGTCAAGGAATTCCCAGAGAGGTAGGTTGTCCCCATAGCCCTATTGTCATTGTCAACGGTTCGTTACACAACAATTTGATCGCATTTCGCACCTTTGCAACAGAAGTGTGGAAGTGAAGGTCGACCAAACCGGGCATTACAAGTTTGTCTGTGCCATCAATAATTGTCGTTTCTCCATCATATTCATCTAGAATCGTATCCCGCGCCCAGTCTCCGATGCTGAAGATTTTGTCATTTCGAATCTCGATGGTTCCTGGATAGTAGAACGTATTGTCATCGTCAAGTGTCAAAACTGTTGTGTTTTGTATAATAATTCGAGTCATTTGGATCTGGTAGGATATTACTTCAGTTGGTCACACTGATGAATTGTCAGTTCGAAGTTCGAAGGTCGAGATGATTTTTACTCAAAGGTGGGATGTTGGAACGTATTGTCGCCTTGTGACCATTTGTGTTACCCCACTACTGTGGGAGCATTTCTTGGGCGGGCGGGCCTCTTTCACGTGCCACTAGAAGGGTGCCTTGTCTTGTAGGTAAATGGGAGCAAATTTTGACGTCGTCGAGTCAAACCTCTCTCTCTGATGGTGGCGGAGCCGAGTTTGACATCTGTTCAAGCTACTGATAAGCGACCGGATATTGTAAATTCAACTTTCCCTGGTAGTATCTCTTTGTGGCCCCCAATCTCACTCTCCTAGTCTCTCATTGTTAGGTAGCCCTTGAAAATGACAGGCCATGACATCGAGATCTTGTCAAGGACCGGGAGGTAGTTGCCCGTCTTCGCCACCGAGCCCTATCCAATTGTTCACTTTCAAATAGCATCCGGCATCCGTCGAGTGACTTTGGTGTTGACACTGCAGAATTCAAGTAAAGAAGCTCGCCTATCTCGCAGTCATAATTTCAAGTGTTATGAGCAACTGTAGAGGCCTTAAGAGAGTGATCGAAACAACATCATGGGATGAAGACTACAACTGGCGTCTTCTGCCGACTGTGATAGAGAATGCTGCAAGAATGAATCTAAACCGCGTTCTATTCGTTTCTAATGACTGATAAATCGCCGAGGGTTCCTACGACACTACACATCGCATTTACTCAAACGCCATTAATCCAATGGCATGGTGAATCGAGGTATTGTCTAAATAGATAAATCGTGATTCGTTCCTGGGTATTCTCAATTGCTACGAACTGCACTGCTAGCTGTCTGCCGGAGTCGTGCCACAATATCGAATACAACTCAGTCACATCTCCCATATACTTTACAATAGCAAGTACTTGGCTCTGGACAACTATAACATGCATCAGTAATTTCTCAAATACTTAATCCCTTGCACGACTTACAAAAGTGGCTCCTTCCCAAAAATTACATGCCACAAAAACTCCATAACCCTTCCGCTTTCGTAGTCATCTAATTCTGTATCTAGAACCCATTGACGATACCTGATATAGTCCTCGAGAGGTCTCTTCATGACTTGAAGTCGCGAAACTGCGAACTGTGCACAACACGGTTGACCCACCATCTCCGGCACCTCATCCTCCGTCCCATTAGATCCTGAGCCCAAAACGTCAAGCCACAATTGCTTCGAGACGTGAAGATTTGGCTTGATATCCTTGGGTCGGCAGCCTGGTTTCCAATTACATCGCAAGTTGACGTATCCGGATTCCTGGACGTACGACAGGTTAAGGGATTTCATAGAGCGAACATTGTCCCAGTCCCAAGCGTCGATATGCCAACCTTGTTCGCGACCACTGCGATGAGCGTGGAGGAAAACAAGGGTAGAGGGGAGAGAGTGGTAATTCGATATGATGTAAGTGAGGTAAGCGAGGGATTCGTGCCCTTTATTAGTGGATGTGTGGAGTCGGGCCGAGGGATCGTCGACGGTATAGATCGCCCGTTGCCAGCTACCAAATGTCAATAAAAATCTTTCTGAGAACTCAACAAGAAGAATCAGGTAAGGATTACTTGGGCAAGTGCTCGGCAACCCAAGACGTGTCTTCTAAAGCTAGCCTCGCCATGACTATCACTTTATCCCCGACCTCTCCTTCTCTGAGGCCGTCGTCATAGAGAGGAAATGACCACCATGCTTTATTATACTCGGTGTATCGGTAGTAGGCCAGCAGAAACAGAGCTATTGCTGATATGGGCAGCAATACTCTGTATTTATTCGCCATGAACGTGGGTTCTGTTAAAGGACAAAGGGGCAAGTTCGAAGTCGGACATGAACAATTTAGGTCCCAAAACAAGGTCAAATGGGGAGAGCGAAATAGAGCGAGTACAACCAGGTCAGAGTAACCGATGCGCAGACTCCACACCCATTTTGAAAGGTGTCGAGATACAGGGGTATCGAAACCAACAATCCAGGCCTAGCGCCTGCCTGCAGGAGAGTGCCTCATTTACGAGTTACACAGCATTGTCTTCAGCGGGGCGTGCCAAATGCGGCACTTCACACGAAACCTCCAGCGGCAGGGCCCGTCAAAGGATGCAAAACGGACCGAAGCCCCGGAATGGATGAATATTGAACGATCAAATGTGATATGAACACAACCTGGAATTTCTCGTATCTGGAGCGCAGCCAATTGGTCGAATCTGGTGGTAAAGCTTCGGTAAAGCTTCTGCTGTCTCAGCCCTCAAGCCGCAGGTAATTCAATCCAGTCCAATCGAAAGTTAGTGGCTCAGGAGGATCTAAGCCATGTTTCAATGGGGCTTCGCGTGATCCTGCGGTCTTGAATCAAATGCTTTCGCTGTCAAAAGCAATGCAGAATTTCTGCGACCGAAGGGAACTGACCGGGAAACTTCTGTCAATGTTTCATTTACTGCGGCAGAGCTAGGGAGAACCCAACCCAATCCATCGGGATGCATTTCTGCGGCTGCCTGGTGTATCGTATGAACAGGATAGGCTAAAGTCCCCGGCATCTCCATTGTGACCACTGAGGAAGGCCTAGAGCGAGAAGCGTGGCGGACCGCGAGAGAATTAAAACACTGCCGAGCTTGTGATTTGGTCAACTTGAGGTGGAAATTAGTGGGAATTGGTGTTATTTCCTGGGTGGTATTGCTTTTTCAGGGGACAGGTCCACACTAAAAGCCACCTGGGCGCGCAACCACCATTTAGATCCTGGCATATCCCATGTCCCAGAACCCTGCCTCCATCTTTGTCGCGTGAATAAAGATTTTTACTAATTCTTCAATGCGTGAAGGGGAAACCTTCTGTGCATGCTCGTCCAACAATGCTGGCGCAAAAGTCAGTGTGAGTTTTCGAAGCCTTGAAGATGCCCAAGCCTACCAATGCCCAACCTAACAGCCTCATCGTAATCCTCAGCAGCATAGTTTTCAATCCATTTCCAATACCGATTTCCTTCGCGTAGTGTCTTCGGATCTGAGTACAGTCTCTTTGCGATAACCCCATATCCAATCAGGCAAGGAGCCAGTGCTACCTGCAGCGCAAGCCAGTCGTCACTGGAACCAGTATCAAGGACGAATCTAGTATATGCTGTACACGCCTGGCTCTCCTCAACTTTCAGCACGTCTTCTTTTGATAGCCCAAACTCAGCACAGTATCCAAGATGAAGGCTCATCTCGCGGTTGATGTGCAGGACAATTTCTGCTGAACGGACGATTTCTTCCAAGTTCTTCGTTTTGAAGCCTGCAAGAGAGTTGGCTCTGGCAAATTGAATGAGGTAGAGGTAGTCCTGGATGAGGTAATATTTGAAGGCTTCGATGGGTAGCGTACCATCCGCCAGGCGCTCCAGGAAGACATGCTCAGTGTGCTTCTTCCATGCAACCGCTACATCCGGGCGGGCGAGGAGGTATTCGATGAATCCGCCAGGAGCAAAGGGAAGAGTGTAAGTTACCGCAGCCATGTTTAAGGTGAACAGGGAATCTTCCAAGCTTCACGAGGCGAAAAGAACGCGCTTGAAACTTCGGATGAAGGAATTCAGGCGAGGTCAGACCATGCCGATCCCGGCAAAAGTGGAGACGGACTATTCTCGCATCCCACACTTCAAGTCATCTCCAGTCATGATATCATTTTCAATCCCAGACTGACGTGGGCTCCGGTATCAAGTCAGCGTTTGACAGGTCGCTCAGAAGATCCTACGTTCTCGTAAGTGAGGTCCGAACGAGATGGTGCACAATATTCAGGGGGATGTTTCCACGTATAGAGCCTACCCCGTGCCCCGAGATCGGACACAAATCAACGCAGATAAGAGTCCATGAGATTAGACACAGGCTCCCAGGAAGACTTCCCCGATGTTGATCTGTTTGTCACAAATGAAACTACGAGACACCCATAGATTTAGTCTTCAGCATGACGCAGGACGGAGTAACAGTTGGTCATGGAGCAATTAACACTCTAGGCCCGATTACTCGAGCAGACACTCTAGATGAAGGCAAGGGAAGGTAGCCAGCACTCAAGCTGCAAGAGAGGAAGCTCAGTTAGTAATAGGTCCAATCAAGCTCGGCGTGATGAAGTGTACTTACTTAAACTGTGTAGGAAACTCTTGGTCCGTTACTCAATCAGGAACCCATCATAACGAGGCTTATTAATTTCAGGTGCTCCATTGCACTTATGCCATGGTTCAGAATTTCAACTTCATTCGTTGCACTCTACTTCATTAGAGGAGCTCGTATGACTTACGGTACAAGAATTGCTTCGGGAGTACCCTTGGCAATTTGGTAATTTTGTAGGGCTTTCAATTTCATGAAAATTTCCTAACTTGTGACAGGGCCACCTATCTTGTTTTCAATGGTCTTCAGCTTTATCACTGCCACAGTCATTGAGGAGGTCTGTTCGGCATTACCATCTGCTGGATCAACCTATATCTGGGCAGCAGAAGCTGGGGGGTTTAAGTACCGAAGGCCGCTTGGTTTTGTAGTTGCGTGGTGGAGTACGACAGCTTGGACCACCTTCTGTGCAAGTAAGAGGCCGGATCCTTGATTCTGCTGTACTCATGCTGATAAGTCTCCGGGTAACACACAAGGAACTGTAGTGCGCGCGAAGGTGTTGAGAATAATTAATGAATTTATAAGAAGTACCTTGCGGGTTTCCTGAATAAATAAAAATTTGATAGGCGCCGACTAGTCCAAATTTGAATGTGAGAAGTTTGGGACCGATGTAAGCTATCAAAAGTTGGTTGGATCAGCTTGCGGGTCGGTTCGTCCCGCTCTTTAGCACCCATATTGTCATGCGTTCGTGAGACAAGGGTACCAACTCGAGAATATCAATGCAATATTCTAATAGTTGTGCGAGTGCACATGCGTCGGTTCTAGATTCTAAACATGGGAACTGGGTTTTCAGGAGTGTGCAACGCTTAAAATGGGGGCGGGACGCCGGGATAGGCATGTGGACCCTCGTCCCAGCTTATCACAGAAAACTACTGTAGCTCTGCCAAAGAAAGGAAGTTCTGAAGTCGAGAACACAGGGCGAGGGTTCTTAATATTGAGCAGGCAGTTGGAACCATATCTCGATTCACTGTCCAGTCACCCCAAAGCCAGCTCATTCACTGAAAGATGGCCCCATCAAAGTCCTTGCCACTCGTCGGATCTGTGATAGTGTAATTCCCAAAGCAAGAGTAGTTGTAGTTTGCCATCACAGTGTTGTTCTGTTGGCTCCTCATAAAATCCCCCAAGGCGCACATCCCATCAACTCTCCCCGAGATATAATTTCCACAGGCTCCTCCTCTAATTGTGTTGAGGGGCAAGATTCTGTGGTTCAACCGCATCCTGACGAATTTATGGGTTGCATTGGAGGCATTGTATCCGTATTGACCAGGGGTGTACGATACTCTGGATTTCTCCACTGGTGCTGGGTCCGACAACGAGCAGCCGATGGTCTCGGTGATGAGACGTGCGCCGAAAGGAGTCAAGTGTGAGAGTATGAAGTGTCGATGTGGATTGGGTGGAAACTGCGTCAAACTTGGTGGGTCACGGATGTAATCAAGCGACATAGCAGTCAGGACGGAAATGATGATGTCGTCATGTGAGAAGTCGGCGTAGAAAGGCTGGTTAGTTGGGAAGGTTGTTGCATCTCCATCGAGTGTTGAATTGACTGAGCTGGACGAGCTCGAGATAAGGGTGCGATTCAAACCTGCGAGAAGTTCTTGAAGATATCCAAGTCCTTGGGCACGACCCGTTGGGTTTCCGAAAGCGTAGTCGTAGTAGTCTGTTGGTGATCAGCAAAATCTTGAGGAGAGAAATGCATGTACTAACACTCCACGTCCAATGTGTTCTCAAAGCCAGCCCATTCATCAGCAGTGAAGAGCTCGCAGAAATCAGACATCCCAAGGTATCCGTGTTCGTATGCACAGATGCTTTGCATTGCGTAGGTATCATTGACAGTGAGTGTGAGCCCCTCCGGTGCATGCTTCTGCAGTCTGGCTGTTGCAGCCGTCAAATACTTGGGGAGATACGTGAACAGGTCCAGGTCTCCAAGGACCCCAGTCGTAGCATCGTTGACGTTAAAACAGCTGTCATATGAAGCTAGGCTGTTGTTTTCAGTCCCTCCCTCGGGAATAATCACCACCTTGTAGGGTTTGGTAACATTCGCAAATGTTGGATTTGGAACAATAGGGAAGCTTGATCCGAAGAACCCTAGAGCCTAGTTGATCTCGCTATTCTCAATTCGAGATTGACCAGTAGTCCTCAACACTACAGGAGCTCGATCAGTTCCATCAGGGAAGCTGGAATTATACGCAATTTGCCCAACGGTGGCATTATATAAGGTTCGGCCGTATCTGTTCCAGAATGAAACACCAGATGCAAGTTCCGTTGTTGCTCCAATTCCCGTGAGAAGTCCAGTGTCGACGATTGGATATCGGTATGTGTTCAAGAAACTCAAGGGACCTGCGAATGATCCCGTGGAGTTGGAAGAAGAGGTTAAGTTGGAAAGCTTTATTGAAAATCGTTGATCATTCTCCCCGTCATCAATAGAGCCTGTGGGAAATCGCTGCGCGTGGCGTTGGAGAGTTTGAACTGATTCCTTGATGAGTTCAGCAGGATTTCGAGCAATATGAATTTATTTTGCTTACAATCTGACAACCGTCCGGAAGACCAACAAATCTAACACCGAAATGATCCTCAGGGTTGTCAGCGTAAGGTGAGATTTGACCCCAGTATCTTTGAATCTTGGCGATGTCGGTGAGAAGGTCTTGTGCTCTAACAGCAAGCACCGAGATAGCAACAGCACAGACAAGATTTAATGCGTGCATCATGAAAGCGTGAGGGAAGCAAGTGAGAGAGAGGAGAGGAGGTTTAGAGCGAAAGGTGAATGAATAGTTTGAAATGTAATGTGCAGTGGAAAGTTCGGCCGACCAGATCAGCGCGGAAGCTTCAACCGTGGAGGTGCTAAGCAAGGGCATTGGAGCAACCAAAACAGGAAAGAGAAACGGAAGTCGGCTCGTTTATCTCAATGTTTTTAACTTTCGGACCTGCTTCCGGATCGAGTTTTCCTTCACCGAGGGCTGCATGAAAAAGCTTGATAAGTGGGATGCAATACCCCGCCAACATTGAACGAAAGATGACGTTGTCCCGATCTCTACAAGCGGGCAACTAAAGGACGGGACTGCTGACTACTTGAAGCTTGACAGAACACTGATATAACGCTTGCATGTGGGGTTGAGGATTGGATTTTCTCACGGGGATCTTCCGTTGACACACGTCAGCAGTTGACGATGAAGGGTGGACGACACTAACACCGGCAGGTCGCGGGTTCCATCACTCTGGTTCCGGGAAGGAACATGTAGAAAAACTGAAATTCTCGTGATTTGGATCGAAAATGGACAATATCGCTGCCCGAGGTTAGTGTCCAAGTGCAAAAGTTGATCGACTATCGAACTCAGGGCACTGGCACAGCAGTGTAGCAAAGGTTGGGATAGAAATGGGCCTGCTCACGCCGAAAACGACGCTTCCAAACTCGTGAAGGATAGACCACAGTCAACTCTTTGGGCCCAATGGCCAACATGCGATGAAAATTCTGGTAGTCTTTTCAAGCGAATACTTTTCCTTTGAAGATCGATGGTGGAACTTTTCTCATGACTTAAAGGTTTTGCCCCATGGTTGGAAGTCAAGTTGAAGACGAGCTGAGCTTCTTGCACTAGGAAGACAAGATTGAAGTTCAGAGGAGCAGAAAGAAAGCAGCTGCAAAGAAAACCCGGTTAGTTAGTACTGCAGCATTCGGCCAGGAATGCAAAACGAAAGAATGATGCAGCAGCAGCAACATTCCAACTTCGAAATACGTCAAGGACACAAAATCATCAAGCTTTCGACTTGGGACGGCCCCTTGGGCTAGAATCTCAATTCATGAGATATCTGTATAGCCTTCAATTACGCTGCAAATGTTTTCCCACCCGTCTCCCAAAACCCGCAAATGCAAGCACTCTATTCTACCTCTTCATCCTCCGCCGCATCACCATTGGCCGACTCCTCAGCGCCACCATTCACGTCAATGAGGCTGACTCCCCCTTCACTCTCGAGCTTCAAATACTCTTCCCACTCGGGGAATAGCTCATCGTCTTCACCTGGAACACCCACAGTCTTCGCTACTCGGCCCTTCTTCTCTTTCTCCAAACTCTGCTTCCATAACCCGACTGTCTTGACTGTGAGACTCGGCTTGTACGTTTGCGAGAACAGGACGGCTTCCGCTGTTCGTCCAGTCTTCGTGAGGAGATCGATGCAGCCTTCCACATCAGCGAGTTGCCAAAGACAAGTGAAAGCAACGTTGTGAGCCCCAGCTTCTTGTGCTTGGGCACTCAATGCTCGAAGACCATCACGATCACCAGTTGAAGAGTGCAGCAGTAACAACGAGCCGAGGTCCTTGGCGCTTTTGAAGCACTCCGCTGCTAGGGCGACATCCCAGGCAGTTAGAGCTGCGTCGCCGACCGTCTTCCACTTGTGTTCCACATCAGCTTCCCGTGCCAACTCCAGGGCAATTGGCAGGTGACCTAGCGCAAGTGCTAACTCAAACTTGTGCTCTGGATCTGTCGCAACCTCAAGTGCGAGTTCCTTATGGCCTTGGCCTTCGAGGAAGCGGGCGATCTTGTTCAATTGGTCTGCTGGAATTGAAGGAAGGAGTTCTGACGCTGATTCCATATCATCACGAAGAACTAGCGTTTGGTATTCGACCACGGAGAGTGAGAGGGAGAAGGAAGTAACGTTGACATCCTTGTCACAGAGGTAAATTCGGGAGTCGCGTTGGATATAGCCTAGCAGGTACATTGGCTGATCGAAGTGTGAAATGGTGTATGTTTGGTCACCAACAAGGTAGTTCAGACGGTTCGTGCTGTTGGTGTAGATGAAGCAATCCCCAACCCATTCTCCAGTTCGTACGCTGGAAGGTGTTAGCGTTGTGAATGGGAAGTAGGAGAGTTGCTTGCCTCTCGTTGATGTCTGTGACGACCTCGAAAGCTGCTTCAACTCCATCATCCTCAACTTGGTCAGCTTGCACAGCTGCGACGTAGTTCTCCCTTGAAAATCGAAGAACATAGAACGTGTCTTCGCAAGCAATCGAAACGAGCTCGCCATTTTCGGACCAGTAGACCTGCACTTGTTAGTTAAGCCCAGAGAAAGTTTCCAGCAACACAAACCTCCTTAGGATCAACTTCAATCCTTCTAACCAAACCGCCAGTCTGCCAATCAAAGAACCCAATACCCCCTTGTCCCTTTACGCCAAGCAAAACGCCACCAGTCAGACCCTCTGCCTGGAAACCAACATCAAGACCACCGGCCTTCTCGACGAAGTTTTTGAAGATCTTGACACTTGTTGCGGATTCTCGGATGGCGTAATCATTGCTATTATCTTTCGAACCCCAGACGAAATCCAACGCCGAACCGAACGCCTTGTTTCTCCACGCCAGGGCTGTGTAGATGATGAATTCTCCGTCCCCGCAAACCGAGACGAATCGACCGTTGGGGGAGTGGAGGAGGGTCTGGGGATAAACTTCGCAGGTTCCGAGATCTTTCGTTGGGAGGGAAATCGGGTCGTTGTCTTTCAGGGAAGCATCTGCACTAAGGTCAGCATTGCGCACTATCAAGTCGAACAACAAAGCTCACCTCCGCCCTTGATTATTGACGAAACCACTTCGCTGTGTCTCGCCCAGATCAACTTTCCAGAGCTATCCATCGACACAGCTGGCTCCTCTCGGCCCATCTTCACGACCACCGCACCCTCATCGAAACCAACAGCCACACCTTGCTTCCCTCTTTGGTAGCTGACACACCACGCCCGCTCCAAACCATAGTTCAACGATTGCTCGAGTCTATAAGTGTTTGCATGCCATATCTTGACTGTTCCATCTTCAGATCCAGATATGATGACTGGTAATTCGGGGTGATAGCAGGCAAACGAAACATTGCTGGTGTGGCCCTCCAGAGTAGCAATCAATGACTTCGTGGTGTAATCCCAAATCTTGACTGTCCGGTCATCTGAAGTTGTGAGGAGGTATGGCTTGTCGGATTGAGGGTAGTAATCAACATGGTTGACACCCTTGGTCTCGTGGGCCTCAAGTGTGAAGTTCGCAGTCGGAGAACCCAAACTCCAGATCTTGACCGTTCTGTCCAAACACGCCGAGGCAAAGGTATTCGTATCTTTAGGATTGATGGCCAGTCCCATCACATAATGGCTGTGTCCTTCGAAAACCTGTACGCATTTCCATGACTTGTCCCAATCCCAGAGCTTGATTGTCATATCATCGGAGGCGGTCAAAACGAATGGTTGTGAGGGGTGAACGACGATTGCTCGAATGTAATCGGGGTGTGCTTCGAAGGAGGTGATCTTCTCGGAGGTGTTGTAGTTGTAGACTCGAAGTTGAAAATCATCTGAACCACAGACAATCCAGTTCTTCCGGGCGACGAATCTACCAGCTCGGACGGGAACATCTGTCAATTCGAAAGTCTTCACTATCGCCTGGGAAAGAGTTAGTAGGCGTTGAGGAGAGCTGGAGAATTGCGCATACTTGGGTCTCATATGACCAGATGTAGACATGGCCTAGAAAGCAGAAGCATCAGCAAGAAGAGTATGCCATTGTTTGCGCTGGTGGACATACCGCTATACAGCGTGGTGAGGATCCATGGCTCGACTGGATGGAAATCGATTCCCTTGACTCGCTCACTCCGCGCAAACAGTTGTCTCTGTATTTTGTAAACCGAGTTAGCTGTGTTCACATCCATCTCGCCCACCACCACGGTCTCGCGCAATCCCAGGGTCTTGTTCTTGTTGTCCCGCTGTGGGGAGGGGTATGCCATCTGCATGCTGTCTACTCCGTCCAAGATGACGAATATACCCCCCGGGAAAGAAGCCACGCACCTTCACGTCTAACCGCATGGTGACTGAACGCTATGCCGAAAGAACCACCGCGGTGAAGGGGGAAGAAGAAGGGCGGGTGGCTTTTTGGGCGCCAGGGACCACGTTCGGGATTTGCAAGTCGTCGTCAGTCGAGGGAGGCAGGATCGAGGGAGAAGAGGGAATGGGGGAATTTCTAGTCGAGTCCGCAGATGCGCAGGAGTAGGAGTCGTGGATTGAAGCAATCAATTCTGGAGGTTGTGGCTGTAATTGAAGCTCGAAATCGAGATTCGTGGTCTTTGGCTCCGGTGCTTGCAGTGCGTTTTGTGGAGCCGCCTAACGCGCCATATTGGGACTAGCCTTGTGAGATTATGGTCTCAAAAGTCACATGGAGACTGAACAACAACGACAGCATCGCTCATCACCAGCATCAATCTGGATGCTGAGACACAGTAACTCATCGTGCAGAAGACAATATCAAGTTATGTTGATCATTCTTTATATTTTTTGCCAGCCGCTGCTGTCCTCGAAGGGCTTGAGACGCTAACACAACCTGATCCAATCGAGGTTGAGATACATCGCAATAAAACGCCCCAATATCCTCCCGTATTCGCCGTAAAACATAGCAAGATCGAATGAACGCTCTCTATGCTTCTGCTTGAACCCTTTTCACGATTTCCACGACGTGCGGGAACAACTTATCACTAGCCGTCAAGCCACAGACCTTCTCGACAACCGCCTCAGGAGCATTTGAGCTCATGATCTTGGCCAACTCCGCACTCTCATCATCACCTTCCACATTCTGGAAGCGGAAAGCCATCTCCGCCGCGTCAAGAAGGGCGCCGAAGGCTTTCCCGTCCTCTGCAAGTTCGGCAGCAGGGCCGATGAATCGCTCCCTGCGACTGAGTTTTCGTAGGGGAGCACGGCCAACACGCTCGACGGCATCCTCAAGATGAGGGTTGCCAATACGAGTGATGATCTTGTCGACGTAGTCTTTCTGTTCTTGTTCGTCGATGCCGTGCTTTCCTACGATCAGCGTACTTGTCTCGGCCAATGCCTTGCGGACCTCGTCCATGATGACTGGCTCCTGTAGCGCATCGTACACCGTGGTCTTCTTGTGGTAATATCCGTGGTACGCTGCGGCAGCGTGGCCGGTGTTGACGGTGAACAGCTTTCGCTCGATATATGGGATCAGGTCGTCAACCCACTTGATTCCCTTGATGGCGGGGGGTTCGTGGTCGTGGAAGGGCGACTTGTCGACGACCCATTCGTAGAACTTCTCGAGCTTCACGTCGAGGCCAGCGCCGGGATCTTGTGCAGGAACGATGCGGTCGATGGCAGAATTTGCATATCTGGCTCGCTCGTGGTGGTCGTCGAGTCGGTGTTCTGGCGTGCACTTGGGGTGCATGATGTGTTCGGCCAGTGTGTCCGTTGCGCCAATCGCGTTTTCACACGCAATTACGGCGATTGGTGTGGCTTCGTTTGGTCGTGCATCAACTCCCTTTGCGATGACAGGGGCGATAAACTTGAGGATATTTGGGCCAACTGAGCAAGTGACGATGTCTGCAGTGGTGATTTCCTTGATGACGTCGGCTTCGTGGGTTTTCGAGTTGATGGCCCGGTAATTTGTGATGACCGACTCGCTGTTGCCCTCGGCTCCTACCTGGATGACCTTGTAGGATTTCGATGCTTGCAGCTGGTCGATAATGCTGTCCATCACATCGCAGAAGACGACCTCGTACCCCGAGTTGTGGAGGCTGCCGCAGTCAGCGCCTTGAACCTACCTGGTTGTGATGCGGATCAGGACACCTACAATTCAGCAACAAACCCTCTGCCGATGTTACCGGCTCCGAAATGTACAGCCTTCATGGTGTTGATTTGGGGATTTGGGGATTTGGGGATTTGGTGGGCAAAGGGGGTTAGACAAAGCGGGGCAACCAAAGAGTGGCTCGATGGGACTGGAACCAGGCAGTCACAAGAGATGCAGCTCGCCTCGGTCCAGACGTGGCAAGTTTCAATGCAGTGAAGGCGGATTGAGAGTGAAGATAGAGGGGTGCGCATGCGGGCCTACTTATAAGATGGGGGCACTCGCGCGTAAACGGTGAAGCGAGGGGCAGAGGGGAGAGCAGCAGGAGAGGAGCAGGAGAGGAGCAGAAGCAAGCAAACAAGGCTGGGACAATGATGCAGGTGGAGGGGAGGGGCATGGAGAACATGAGGCATCGGCAAGGCCAGCCCTTGGCCCTTCGATCCTCACTTCACCCATTCGATCCAGGCCACAGGCCACAGGCTTACCCACAGGCCACAGGCCACTGACAACCTTTTCGCGGGGGGGTTCTGGTTGGCCAGCAGGAGGCCGGCACGGGGTGGGGGGACCATTACAGCGATTGGATTGTGGGTGCGAGCGCGTTACACGCGCAAGGGTGCCGCCCACCACGCCCATGACGCAAAGCCCCGGGGCTGCAGCCAGATATGCAGGCAATCGGCTCAGGCCTTCGCTGCCGCCCAGCACGGCGAACGGCAACATGCGGTGGCTTGCCACCCCGGCCCACCCTTCCACGCCTTCTTCCGGACGACGGCGACGCATTGACTTCATCCCACCATCCATCCAACCCTCCACCCCGCCAACCCACCACCATCCATCCATCCCTCCAACCCATCCCTCCAGCCCACCTCCAACATCAATGCCCTGATATTCTCAACGACAATCTTATCAGGAACGTTTGTCAGGTACCAGCGTCTTCCGCGAATAGAATAATAGTCTCCCCTCTGTGAAGAGCCCATCTGCACGTTTACCCCACCTCGGGCCTATTTGTCCCACCACCAGTTCCTATTGTACTACTGTACTGTGCAAATCCCAGGCCCGCGTTGTCCCGCCTGCCTCTGATCCCGGCAATCTGGACCACTGTTCTGGGCATCGGACTGGGACGATATTGTGAAGCATCATCTTGCGTCTGAAGGCAACCAGCAAATTTTCTCTGTGTGCCGATTTGCTACCGTGGGATTTTTGAGCCCCACCGAAGGAAACTCAGCCTCTTCTTATCTTTGGAGGTTTTAGTGAGCCATTTTCAAAAGCACGAGCCCGACTCACGTACTCAATCGAATTCCGGGTACTGTACTGGTAAACGATGCTGGGTCTGAGCTTTTCAAACAGCACTAGACGGTGGTAACTTTGGGGTTAAAACATACAGTGGAACCCGAATCTGCAAAATGGCTTGGCTTCCCTTACCCTGAGGCTGTATCATGCATGTACCCGCCTGCACATGCAAACTTAATCACGATGAAAATTTGAAGAACTCAAAATCCGGTATCATATGTAAGTCCTGTTAGGCACAAACGGGCCGGCCTCTTGAATATGCCTCGCTCTGCTTCGCGATGGTCTCAGAAACGGACCGAGGGTCCCCGTGGGAAAATGGAGCGTATCCACTCATCGGCTCATTTTCCTTTCAACTCTCCCGTTTTCTCCCGAAAACCAACATTTTTTCATATGAGCAACTATTTCCACTTGTAAACATGAAGCGTTCATCTTGTGATGAGACGGCCACGAATTTGATATACCCTGCAGTGCTATTAGTAAATCTGACATGCCTCTCTATTCGCCGAATTCAGCTGGCCAATTAATCAATCCCGTAGTAATATTGCGTAGCTATTTCTAACACTGAAAATCTATGAAACTGTAATAAAACCTTTGTTAGAAGTTACATTAAAAGCGTGAAAATAAAAATATGAGTGACGTATAGAGGTCTAAGTCTAGGTATGGATTGCGTGCTCGCTAAAAAGTAATATCTTTGGAGGCACTTAGAGGGCTGCTAGGGCCACGGCGACATTGTCACGCCGCAGTCTGAAAATCGCAACCTCGCTTTACAGTAGTCGATTATATGGATGCTAGTACTAATTAAGGTTATTTCACTCCATAATTATTGTATCTTAGAGATCTTTTTTAAACAATTGATAATGCTGTGAAAATCAAGTCTAGTAGCAGCATATTAATAGCTTTATAATTCCCATTGATTGACTGGCTAACTGAATGCTGCGTGGAGAGAGGGTATATCAGATTTGCTGGCAATACAGCAGGGTGCATCAAATTTCCGGCCTTGTGAGACTCGTCTGAAGTTAAGGACGATCTGGATCGGTGAAGATCTGGGGAAATTATGGATCATCTATAGTTGAGCCACGTGACATTAAGTCATGTGATATCACGTCCCGTGAAGGGAAAGATAAGGGAAGGCCACAGGTTGGATAAGCCGCGCCACAACGCAGCCTTACGGATAAATTTGCCCCAAGATCAGGACGAGTCAAACGCCGCATCGGCAAACAAACTTCTGTTCTTTGAATCACATGTTGGCGAACAAGCATGGCCATGGCTTAGAATCAATTGCCGGTTCCCATACCGGTTCCCATACCGCGTCGATCTCTGCAAGTCTCCCTCCCTCTCGACGATAACTTGCGCAATCATGGGACCCAACTCTGAAAGGCCCTCGAGATTGATCGAACGATCAGGCATCACTCTCTGGATTCTAAGTTTGGGACCTCGTCATCACTGCTGATCAGTGCTAGCTTAGCTCTCCTAGAACTCTAATCATCTCACCTCATCATATAAAGTTCATTTCGAGATGGGCCGCCCGCCAGCCCAGCCGAGCAGCCCCAGAGTCACACCTAAGACATATTTGTGATATGAAAGCTGACCGCCTCGCCCACGCCAAGCAGCCTTTCATCTCTCGCTCTCTTCAAAGTTCTAAAAATCCTTCCCCCTATCCCCGTAACTGTAATTGACAATTGATGATATTTTCGCAATGGTACTACCGTGGGCGAGCGTGGGAACGCGAGAAGTCGACAACACGCACTATGATACTTCGGAGGAGGAATCGATTTGCGAGATGGAAAATGAAGCTACGGCTGTGGTAACCTTAGACCTAGCAATCCCGATTCCCGAGGCGACGCAGCCGCGAAGCGCCAGCGAGCCCATGCCGACACGAGAGACGTGGTCGGGCACACGCGTGCTTTGTCCGGATCCCGTGCTCACGGGATACTCGACATCGGACGACGAAGAACGTGAAATTGGAGGAAAGGCAAGCGCAACGCGACAAAAGGTTCGCAAGACGAGAGCGGGACAGCGGCGAGCGTCATGGTCGCCGCAACCACCTCTGACAGCGAGAGCGCACGATAGCGGCGTCCAGGGCCTCGATGACAGCGACACATGCACCGCGGGAAGTGGTGTTGGAAATGGGGAGGAAGCAGCGAGACATTGGAGAAAGATAACACAGCTTGAGGCCTTGGATTCAACACGAGTCGGGAGTGAAGATGAAGACGACGGTTCGGCATTCAGGGGCATCGCGGATGCGGACTCGAGCGAGGAGCGTTGGAGGCAGATTGTGCTGGAAGAGCATATGGACAAGATTTTCCATGCGTTCCCGACATTGCTCGACGAAGAGCTGAAGGAAACGGTAGTGGGTGGGGTGAGGGTGAGGACTAGCTTTGAGACGACGGAGGAATGGGGGCTCCCACGCAGGAAGCAGACTGGCTTGAAAGGGCGGGTGTTAACGCGGGTAAGATTGTTTGGATATTCGAGGACGCGAAAAGAAGGAGTGCCATGACGAGAAGGACAAGGACGATTTGGTGTGGAGGGCGGTAGAGTTGAGGTTGGTATTTTCTTGGTCCCTTGAATGTTGGATAATATCCGGGCAGCTTGGCGTTAGGAGTACTCGGATTTTGGGTAAGGAATAAGCAAGATCTTATAACTTTATAAAATAATACTATATATTCAAGGACAAGGACAATTTAGTATAAAAAGCAATAGAGTTAAGGTAGTATTTTCTTAGTTCCTTATATATTAGGTAATATCCAGGTAGCTTGGCATTAGGAGCATATAGACTTTATATGAGGAATAAGTAAGTTCTTATAACTTTATAAAATAATATCATATATTTAAGGACAAGGACGATTTGGTGTGGAAGGGGGCAGAGTTGATGTTGGTATTTTCTTGGCCCCTTGAATGTTGGATAATACCCAGGCAGCTTGGCGTTAGGAGTACTCAGGCTTTGCGTAAAGGACAAGGAGGATCTTGTGACTTCATAAATAATGCCATATGTTCACACCAAGTCTTCGTCTTCCTTGTGTGACAACTCTTGCGCCTTAGACAGAGCAAATGCCTCCCAGCGGCTCCTATACCAGCACTAACTGAGAAGGAGTAGTAGCAAGGCCGTTGCAAACATAGAAATCCCAGGCGTCCCAGGTGAGCACGAGAAAACTGTAGCAAGGAATCCATCCCCCGTTTAATGTCGAGTAGAAGTCGTGAGAGAAAGTTGAGTCGCGGCCAACTTTGAAACGGTGGCACTGGGAACGCCCCGCCAAAAATTCCCGACACAGGTCACCATCCAACAACATAATACCGTCACCAACTCCCCCTCACAACAACCTTCTCCCCAATCCCACTCGTCGACTAGCGCTCCGCCCACTATCTATGCGCAGAATGGCCATGCATACAGTCGCAACTCTCCCGCGCCTCTCCTCCACCGAGCTCTCGCAGATCCTCCTCTCCAACAGCTCCTCAAACCTCGACGCCTCGACTCCGCCCTCAAAGATCGCAATTGTGGATGTACGCGATGACGGTATATGCCCCTTATTTCCCGAATCACTTCTACCTCCTGCTCTTCTACTCGAAAGCTAACGAACGTCCTCGCAGACCACATCGGCGGCCACATTCGCCATTCGATCCACGCCCCTTCCCACACCCTAGACCACAAGATCCCCGAGCTCGTGCGGAAGCTGAAAGATAAAGAGACAATCGTCTTCCACTGCGCGTTATCACAGCAAAGAGGACCGTCTGCTGCGTTAAGATACATACGAGAGAGGGAACGATTGCTTGGTCCCAGCGCGAAGACGAAGATGGAGAGTGGCAGTGGAGTGGGGGAGGTGATGCTGAAGAATAAGGAGTTAGATAGTGAGGGAAAAGGAGAGGATGAGGATAAGGAGTGGGAGGATGACGATGAAGAGGGCAAAGAGCAGAAGGTTTATGTGCTTGATCGTGGTTTCGTGGGCTGGCAGGAACGGTATGGTGAGGATCCACGGCTGACAGAGGGGTATAGGAAAGAGATTTGGAAGGAGGGGTATTGGATGTGAATGAAGGCTGGCAGCCGATGCATATGGGCTGGAGTCATGACACAGAGGGCACGGATGGCAGGGCGTACCTGGTGGCGTTTGGGATTCTATTGGGACTCGGGGCATATCGAAGATTTCCAATAGATCGAGGACAACGAGAGGAGATATTCCTAACCCAAGGGGGGAGAAGTTTGATTTTATCAACTGGGCCAACGTACATCTGATCGGGAATTGTTTCTGGCAGGTGCTGGATTCTTTGACCATTCTGTTGAGCGAGTGCTCATTTCTAACCGATTTCTCTCCAACTTCCGCGTGCTGTTGAGAGCCGTTTCTCCTTCATTCTTCATCATCGCTGTGTTTCATCTGTTTACACTCGATCTGAAAGATGTCCGGGCTTTGGCTGGATCGGGGAGCCTGGCTTTACTGGGCCCATCTCCTTCACTGTACTTGTCTTGATGCTTGACAACTTAGATTGGGGGAAGTTCCTAACTATCTTCCATATCATGTGCCAGGATGTCTACTCGTCATTCCGCCCTACCGCCTATATTTTGGTACACCACAACTTGGTGTGTCTCGATCACTCAATGAACCTGCATATCCTTTAATTTGGCTAATTGTCTGCGGGCAACTATACGGCTACGTGAGCCCAAACGTAGGGCTCTCTTCGGCCAAGGAGGAATCTCCGTTCCGTGATATTCTTCCAGAACATTTTAGCTTTGTTCGATGAACTCATAACCGAGATGTGTATCTCCAGCGTCAATGATATCATCCATCATAAAGCTCATATCTAAACTACACAAACACTACTTCAAAACTACGTCTCATGTCATTTTCTAAAAATTTCGTCCACTTACGACGTTCGTCTCAACCCGACACACATCAACGCAACGAATATCGACAGGGTTGGATCGCCGCGACACATCTTCTCACACGACATCATTGTCGTAGCATGCTACCCCACTCTCACCCTTCTCCCACCAGACATTATCTCTTGTCAGCTTCACTCTCTCCTCAACTTCCCCCTCGTCAACTTCCCCCTCTCGTCAAGCTTCAGCGACTAGCACTTCTCACTTTTCGGCAAATGCAACATCGCCATCGCCAACCAGCACACCAACTTCAAGCTCGCCTTGGACTAACTGGGATGCCCCGTGGATCTTCCTGGTCGTCGTTGTCGGTATTGGTGCACGTGGTTTTCTGGCCCTCGTTGTTTCATTATGTGGCGATTGCTGCTGCAAGTGTCGCCGCCGGGCAAGAAATGCCGGACGGAACGACAGACACCTCGAGAAGAACCCCACGGATGCACAATCCAGATGGTACACCCGGATGAAAGGCTGACGCTCTTTCAGTGAATCCACTATTCAAAGCCGGGAAGTGGATGTTGGTTACGTCCAACTTCAACGCATGCCAGGCCGATCCAGACGCCAGATCTCGGGACGGCAACCCAGTCTTGCCGCTGCTTCCACATCGCCCACGCGACAAGGCCAACCACCAGCGTACACGAATCCAACACAGCTTTCACCCGTCTTCCTCATCCCAGCTCAGAACTCATCCCGCGTGCCGGTCAACTCAATGGAGACGACTACCCTGCTCCCCGCATATAATCGAAGACACAATAATCAGGTCTATGAGTGGGAGTCCCAAGAGCCGGCTATTGACGCAGCCCGTGGGTTGGATGCTGATTTGATGCCTGTGCCGAGTTATACAAGGCATTAGAATTCTTAGTAGCCGCTGACTCCTTACAGCGAGAATCGCAGGGAGTTGAGATAAGAAATGCCTGGAGATTGGATGATGAAAAAGCAGATTTCAGATATGTTTGGCGATGTACGATTATTTCACAGAAACAATTAAGGTCAAGGTAGGCAGTACATCCTCCTTACGTGAAGCAGGAAGTAGTGCAGCTCCGAGATTCAACCCCTCACATGTCATGCAACCCTCCTGCCCAATGCAAGCCTATTCAATGCGGCTTCTATGGAACAAGGTTTCGTCAAGCGCAACTGAAGCTCATCATTCCATATGCACTAACCCCAACTCGTTCAATCAAAAGATTTTAACGAAGCACCCTTTTCTCTTATACACTTTCTATCTTCGTTCACCCTATGCGCCTCGTCCTTTGGGGTCTTTGGTAGTTTCCTGCAGCTTGACTCCCACTTCTCCACATGACTCGGTCAAAATTGCTCCGAGCATTACTTTCACCGTTTCTTTCGCATCGTTCGCGAGCTCCCGGGCTCACGGAACAATTCGTTGTCGAGAAGCCGACTTTTGGAGTCTAGGCTACCCTGTTTATTTTGTGGGAAGGTGGATTTCCGGCCAATCACCCACCTGCAACGTTCCTTTCCCTCAAAATGCAAATACGGCTTAAGAGTTGAACTCCCTCCTCACCCCTCTTTCATATTCTTCAGTTGTCCCTCTTCACCGAATATTTACACCACGTCAAGATGACTGTCCCTTACACCAAGGACTGGGCTTCGTTATCGAAACTAAATCCCGAGTTTGAAGCAGCAAGTACTCACCCAACTCGAATTGCCCATTTTAACCTGATTCCAGCTTCTACCAGCTTTCAGTGGTTTCCAGCTGGTCACCCCAGGCGTCACAACGCTCGAGATGCTCCGTTCTTTCGGAACCAATCGTCCACCAACCCCTCTTTGGCCAGAGGTCCTCGAGAAAGACATTCAGATTCCGTTGAGAGATGGGTCATCCAATCGGGCTCGTGTCTACAGCCCTTCGAGCTCTTCGACTATTGGAAAGCCTCTTGCTGTATTCGCGTTCGGTGGTGGTTATATTACGGGAAGCCTCGAGACCGAGGAGGAGGATTGTAGGACTTGGGTGAAAAAATGTGGTGGAGTTGCCGTTAGTATTGGGTATCGGTATGTTGGGAGAATGTGAGTTGAAGGGGAAGGGGAAAGTTGGCTGATATCATTTGTAGACTTGCACCTGAGCATGCGTGGCCGGGACCACATGAGGATATGTATGATGCGGTGAAATGGGTCAGTTTTCTCGCTCTCACCCCTGGATGCGAACCGGACGAGAGCTAACCGAGATGATAGATTGCAAGTAACTACAAGGACCTCGACGCGGATCCCTCCAAAGCGTTCGTCCTGGGCGGAACGTAAGTGAAAGCGCCTTATTCACGGTCATTGACTAATTTTAAAATAGCTCTTCCGGTGGAACAACAATGATGGCCATTACTCACCTCTGGCGCGACGAAAACCACATCCCTCCTGTAACCGGTCTCTTTGTCTCGATCCCGATGTCATACCACACCCCTTCTGCTCTTCCCGAGAAGTACAGCCAACGAGACATATCCTACGAACAGAATAAAGATGCACCGGTTTTCAATGAAATTACAGGAAACTTCATTGACAGTAAGCAACCCCTCGACCCTAACTTCCCAAGCCGTTACTTAATACTGATCCTTGACAGGCTTCGTCAAGCCAGATCCCCGCGATCCACTTCGATGCCCATTACTTTGGCCGACCGGACACAACAATCTCCCGCCAATGTACATGGCCGTTGCGGGTGCGGATCTTTGGAGAGATTCGGGGCTGATTTAGGAAGAGGCATTGAGGGAGGAAGGCGGCGTGAAGACCAAGCTCGATATCTTTGGTGGGTTGATCCATTCGTTTTGGGGTGTGTTTCCGGCTGCGGAGTTTTCGAGGGAGTATAGGGGGAAGGCTGAGGAGGGCCTGGAGTGGTTGGTTGAGCAGTCGAAGTTGAACGAGTGACGTGGGAAGAAAGAGAACGTACTTTTCTCTTTTGCATCCATGCTTTAAACTTTTAAAGGGGTTTTTCTATAAATCACGAGCTAATGTACCAGGCTCGACTGGTACATTGAGCTTCCAGTAAATGTCGAGCAATCAATTGGAATTCCAGAATTCGACTTGACTTTTCGTTGCACAGCACTCTTGTTTACGTTTGTCCTCACCTTTCCTTTAAAATTCGCTCTTTAGCAAGCGGATCGGGGTTTTATTTATCTCGCAGAATCTCATGTTCAACAAAATTGCATTGACTACATGCAAAAAACAAACAGGTGACGCCCAAAACAGTCCTGGGTATCTTCTCCCAAAGCAGGCAAACGTTCTAATCAAGAGAAGGTAACCCAATTAGCATTCACATCTTTGGGCTGACCACTGACACCGTTGTTAGATTGCCTCGATACATCTAAGACCACGCTGTTGTTCATGGGGGCGGTGGGCAGGCGATATTAATTAGTTTATATTTAATATAATCCCGTTGCATATACATATCTGTACGGAATCCGATCCATCATCTCTCCCAAAACCTTTCAATACTTGGCAATTAGTCCACGGATTAGTGTTGAATTAGCTAAGTAAAGAAGCTAGGGTCACGTGCTTACAATGTAAACCAAGTAAAACGTACTGAATTGACTGCTGTTCTACAGTAGTAAGTAGCCTGTATATATAGCCCTGAACCCCCTAAGTCACATGCACTAAACCCCTAAACCAGAGAGCCTTATACTGAACCATTCAACCTCAGCTAAACCGATTTAGCCTCACAGGGCACATTATGCCCTGAATTAACCTTACAGGGCATAATCTACTCAGTAATAAGCCTATGGCTTAAGCCCATTAGTGTACAGCCCCTAATTTCAACAACAATCATTACAAATAGCAAAATCCCCGCTATTGCAATATCTGCACATATAGTGGGCATTGCCCAAGGTGTTTATAGTTGTGACGCATGTAAAGGAGTATGTCACCTCGAGTGAAATGATGTTAGGGGGTGGTCATCTCAGTGGCTGAGGTTTCTCCCGATTTGATAAGCTCCCAACCCGTAACTTTGCAGATCTCAGGCAGCGACTCAAGCAGGTGTACCTCCCATGTCCCGTGTACCAATCTCCTTTCGTCCGGGGTAAGATCATCCGCCGTGATCATAACAAAGGACTTCCCTGGCTGAGCATTTCCTTCCCAGGTATCCGCTAAAATTGCCGGGCCTTCCCTAATTGTTCGACCTGCTTTTGTGAGATGCTCCCCATCACATGGCATGAGCCAAAATTCGCCAAGTTCAATTCTCCTCTTCAAATCCACCTCTGGACAGTCTTTCAACGCCCACATGAGGAAACAGACTAAACCCTGGAAAGGAAAGGATTAGCAGGTTATCTAAGATTTGTGCAAGGAGTCTGAGAAAGTCAGTTACCTGAACCGTCTGCGAGATGAAGAAAGGCACCAGGTGTGTCCTCCCAATAGCATCGGTAAGTTGAATAGGCCTCTGATCAGCACTCATTGGCATCGACATGAGCGATAACGCGTCATTCGTAAAGTTCATGGTAATTGCACCAATATACGCATTGATCGCGGCTGAGATTGCCTCGACCTTTTCGTCTTGACGCACGCTCGACCATGCCTTCAATATGATCTTCCACCACTTATCACCATCCTGCGGCAAGGTTCTTTCCAGTACGGCGTTTAATTCTGCGAGTTGTTCTCGAAAATCCGTGATAATAAGACAGAGTGCCGCGCACGTTTCCTCGTCAACTTTGGCGGCTTTTATTCGACTCATAGTCTTGTTGAGGGTGACGACCAAGAGAGGAAGCATTGTTTTCTGAGTTCGAAAGGCCTTGGGCATATTCCTAGCTCTGCCGCCGAAGTTTTTGACCCTACCGAACATTGTATTGATGCGGTCGAGTAGGTCCGCGATGTTTACAATGATGCTGATAGCAAGAAAGGCCTCCGCGCCGGACATCGTGTTAATTACTCAATTCTCAAGTTCCCTGCCTTTCGTCGATCAATGGTTAAGATTACGAGGCAACCGTGCTCTGCGATTGGGTGTGCTGTAGCCACTAGATGGAATTTTCAACAACAATAGACGTCTAAAGTTGCTGGTGGGCGGAAGACTGTGAATTTAAAATGAGAGAAATAAGACTGGTAGCAAAGGTCGATAGGTTTGCTTGGAAGTTTTAGCGGTGAGATAATTGGGATTATTGGAGGCGTTCAGCTGAGCTACCACTGAATTATACTTGCGTCCCAATTAGCGCAGCCTCGCTATCCCTCGTTAAACATAGGATATGTTTCAGTCCTTCAAACTGCAACAAGACCAAATGTGGTGATATTGGGATCTCTTTTGATAAGGCAAGAACCTGACCACTTCAATAGACCCTACGGAGGATCTGTGAAGGCCCATCCCCTAATACGAGCGGTTTACCAATGGGGGGTCCCCATTAACTAATCGCGCCATACGATTAGTTAATAGGAGGGGAATACGAGTTGGGCGGCCCATTACCCAATTATTCACGCCCATTGTCAATCGGGAGGCCTATTGCCTAATCGGTAAATATATCGGTTTCGGAGTTAGTAAAAATTAATAATATATTAATGCATTCCATACTCCCCCTCCCCCTTCCTGACCCCCCTACTTCGCCCCTTACTTTTTTGCTCTCACATTACGTCTAGGGGCTATAACAGTTCCCCTAGCTCTTTCTACCCCACTTTGACTTGATAATTAGCTAATTCCTTCCTATTAGCTTTATTCTCATATGGCTCTTTAATTACTACTCTTTCTTTATTCTCTTAAATATCTTGCTTGCCTTTTAAATATAATTGAATTATAATTATTCTCTTATATAATTACTTTAAATTAAGTAATTCTAATAATTTTGGGAGATATTTCCTTTATTAAAATTTTATGAGTTATTTAAAAAGCAATCTTATTAAAAGTATTAGCTAGCTAAAAGATTAAAAAATTTATTATATTTTATTATTAAATAATACTTATAAATATAATTAGCTTAAATAATAATATATCTTTAAATTAATTATATATTTTTATTATTTTTAATAAAGCTCTTATTAGAATTCTTATGAATTTAATATTAAAATAATATTATTTCTTTTTATTATATTTTATTTCTATTATAATTCTTTTAATTAATTTATATAAAATTGTTTTCTTTTACTTTTATTTAATTCTAATATATTTTTTTCTTATTTATTCTTTTAATTACTTTTTCAAATATTTTTTTATAACTTTAAAATTTCTTTTTAATATAATATATATCTTATATTTTATATAAAATATTACTTTTAAATAAAATAAAGATTAATGTAATATTAATTATATAATTAAAGAAAGGAATTATAGCTAGAATTATATATTAGAATTAATATTTATATAATTATTTTTAAAAAACGTAATTAATAACTTTAATATAATTTTATAATTAAAAGTAATAAGCTTTTTTGTTTTTTTTATAAACTTTAATTACTTTTCTTCTAAGCTTATTATATTATTATAAGCTAAAATAAGAATATATTTATTATTATTTAGTTATTTAATAAGCTTATTATTAAACTTTATTTATAAACTTATTTTTAAATTCTTAAACTAAAATAAATTTAAAAAAGTAATATTATAAGGTATTTATTAATAGGTAATAAGATAATAGAATGAATTAGTAAGTTATGAAACTATAGTATTAAATTTAATATAGAACTAATCTCTATTTCTTCTATAAGGTTTAAGGAAGACTTCTCTAAATAGAAGGCTCTAATAATATATATATAATTAGTAATTTATAAGCCTAATACTTATAATATAAATAATAGTTAGTTATAATATTAAAGAGCTACTAATCTCTCTAATTAATATCTATAATATTCGAGGTTTGTTATATTTTTAAGTTATATATAATCCTATATATATTATAATTATATTTCTTTTTTGGGATCTTATTTCTAAAATCTATTAATCTATTCTAGTAAATATTTAATTAATTATTTATTTAATTAAGGTAAACTTCTAGTATTTTAGAAAGTAGTTTTACTAATATAATCTAGATAATAGATATAAAAATTATCTAATTAGATTAAGGCTAAGTAAATAAGAAAAAAAAGTAATTATATCTCAGATATAGAAGCTAGCTAGTAATTATAATTTTGTTTGGAATCTAAGTATTCTAATTAGCTTAATTTAAAATACTAAGGTACTATTTATTAGATTTTATATTAGAATAATCTAAATAGCTATATAGAAAAAATTTAATAAATATTTATATAAGAAATCTATATAAATATTTCTGAGATCCTAAAGATTATTTATAGGCTTCTAGAAATATATATTAATTAGTTATACTAAATTCTAATTAGAACTAGTATAAAAACTAGTAATTAATTTAGGTAGTTCTTTATTTTTATAAAAGAACCTCTTTATATTACTATGTATTCTTTTTCTTTCTAATAATTATATATATAATAACTTCTTCTATTATTATTTTCTAGCCTCTTCTTTTATTTTTCTTTAAGTCTTTTTTAATTATTTTTATTTAATTCTATAATATCTTTTTCTAGCTTTTTTATTTACTAATATAATTATAAATATAAAAATAACTTTATAGTCTTTTTTTCTATTACTAATAAATACTTAAAATACTTTAAATATTTACTTATTAATTTCTTTATCTTATATATTATAGTATCTAGTAAGAAGAATTATAATTATTATAATAAGAATTCTAAATCTTATATATTAGTAAATTCTTTAGCTTTAATATCTATTAAAGCTAATATAATTTCAGATTTCTTATTACTTATTAGAGGCTTACTAGTTCTAGGAAAATATTATTATAACTTTTAAGAAATTTCTTAAAAAATATTCTAAATAATATTATACTAATATAAATAATACTATTAATTAGGTTTTTAAAGACTAAAAGAAAACTAATAAGTTTCGGAATTCTTTTTTCTATTTTAATAAAGCAAATAATAATACTACTTAAATTAGTATTTTAAAAGTAAGTTTTTTCTAATATATTTAAATATTTATTAATTCATTAAAAAAATACTATAAAGTTTATTTTTAAGATATTAATCTTATTACTAAAATTATTATCGAGATTTCTAAATAATTTATTACTAGTATTTTAAGTACTAATAATATAATACTTATAGCTATTTAGAACCTAATTTTAGAAATTCGGGCTTTCTATAAAATATATATAGTAGTTATAAGTTCTTTACTTACTTTTCTTAATATTCTTAATATTAATATTATTATAATATAACTATATTTTATTAAGAAATAAGTAGATTCCGGAAAGTATTATCTAATTCTTTACTAAATCCTAAATAGAGCTAGTATTTAATATTCTTATTTTAGGAATTAGAAATTTATAGGAATTAGAGTTTATTTATTTGAGATATTTATAACTAGTTTATCTATAATTAATCTTTTTTAATCCTAAATCTTTTTCTAATAATTTAAATATAATTTTTATAAGCTTTAATAAAACTTTAGAAAATCTTTATAAATAAAAAAATCTGGGAAAAAAATATTTCTATTATTATTCCAGGCCTTTTCTTAGTTATTTAGGTCCTTTCTTTCTTTTAAGTAGTTTTTTTCTTAATAGTTTAAAATTCTTTTTAATTTTAAAAAATTATTAAAAAGCAATTTCGGATTTCAAGTTATAGTTTTAGTTATATAATTCCAGAAGTTTCTTGAAATTTTTAAAATTAGAAAAAATAAGTAATTAGATATTATAATTTTTAGACCAGGCTTTTTATTTAATTAAATACTATTACTTTTTATTTCTATTATTTTATTAGTAATTAATAATAGCTCTTATTTCTTACTTTTATTTTTTATTATTATTTACTAATTCCGGAAGTTCTTTAGAGAAATATAAATATAGCTTCTAATTCTTTTTTATTATATATTTTTTAAGAAAGGAAATATAGAAAATTAGATATAAATAATTATATATATTTAGTAATTCTAACTTATATACTAAATTACTAATATATTTAAGAATTCTAAATAAACTTATAAATTTTAGCTTAAGCTTTTTTATTTTAAGTTTAATATTCTTTATTAATAGTATTATTTAAGCTTCTTTAAAGTAATATTTAGCTAACTAGTATTTATTATAATAAGTTTTCTAGTTATTTTATATATAATATTATAAATTCTTAAGCTTTCTTTATTTTACTTTAAGGTTTTCTAACTTTTTATATATAGCTAGTATCTTTTTTATAATTCTATTCTTAAGATTTTATAGAAGTTAAGAATAATATCTATAATATATATAAAAAGATATATTTTATAAAATCTAATATTTTGAATTATTATATATAAATTCCGCAAAAAATAACTTCTTAAGCTAGTTATTTTTTAAGTATTATAATAATATTTCAGGTAATATTTTAGGGTCTAATTCTGCTTTTTTATCTAATTATTTATTTAAGAATAATAAGCTATATTTAAATATTATTTATATATTAAATAAAAGCAGAAAATAAACTAGAACTAGCTAATAAATACCATTTCTTAATTAGAAATAATTCTATTAAAGAAGCTAAAAATTAAGAAAATATATTTCTATATAATCTTAGTAAGCTTTAGAGAATTAATAGTCTTATAATATATAATATATCTTGCTATTTTAGAGTATTAGTTAATAATTATAAGAATTATTTTATATAATAATAGACCTATAATAAAATCTATAAAGACTTTATTCTAGAATCTCTTTGGCTATAGTAAACTACTAAATAAATTATATAGTAAATATCTCTTTATTTTAATTCTCTAGTAAATATTATATTCTTAATAATAATTATAAATTTTTTTTTTTATATTTTCCTAATACTAGAATTTTCTAAAAAGCTTAAAAGTCTTTTCTATTTTATAATATCTGGCTATTAGGTTATTATAATAAAGCTTTATAACTTCTTAATATAAAGTAGAATTAT